TGGGTTCTTTAGTTGCAGATTGAGCGGGAGCACAAAGTACCCAGTCGACTAGTTGTACTTTTCCTCTCTGCGTGAGCAAGCTAGTTGCTACCTTGCAGGTACCAGATGCGACCGATTCGACGTGAAAAACCCTTGTCTGGGCTACGGAGTACTCCGTGCCTAGTCTAGTTCCTTTCTCTACTAACGATGGAGTTGGTAGTACTTCCGTTGTCGTTCTGCATGGGTATAGAGAAGTAGCAGTTCCGTAGCAAGCCTCTTACTTTGTGGTACTTTGGTTTGGGTAGTTACCCAGCCCAGCCCCCTCCCCATCCCCTCCATCAAGCCGATCAAGCTGGGGGTGATTCCCGTAGGGCAGGCAGCCGCTAACGACTCAATATGTGCAGCAATCATAAAAGATATGTGGTCAAAAAGGTAGCAGTAGCTTTGAGGTTCTCAGTCGTGCAGGTGCACAGAAGCAAGAGCGCCCAGTCAATGTAACAATTTAACCAATAACTCTGAATGGTTCTGATATACTACCCCGTACATATCCCTGAATGCATTTTGATGCCTCGCAGCAAATAGTTTCAACTGCAGCCTCCTGTCATCATCATCAGTGTCACCGCAATTAACAACATGGACGCACAATTCATTATTTGTGCCGGTACTCCGTCCTCCGTACCACTGGGAATGAACCCTTTCTGTGTGTAGTTGCGGCTGAGTCATCCAACGCTGGGCAGACCGACGAGAGCCGGGGGAACCGTTGAGATACAAAGTAGGTAAGTAACTGCAAGGTTCTTCTTCTCCGTCGTGCATCCATCTGGTTGGTGGGTGGAAGCAAGCATTACTTGTGCAGTACAGGAACAGCAAGAAGTAGGCTGAGAACTATTAGCTTACTATTGAATGGGAGCATATAATAATGAGGCTATCTAAATATCGTATCATGTTATATCGCTGCCCGCAATTATGATATTACTAGTAGTATTACCGTTGAGCGGCTATCCATGGATCCATCGCCGGACACCCAAACGGGCAGAATTTCTCCGCGGTTCAATCAACCGTGGCTCGTGATTCTTCGGGAATATGTAGGAGTCTTAGTAAATAATAGATATCTAGTATCTACCCAACTATGGGACTGACTGGCAACAACTACTATGAGCATATTCAAAGAATAAAATAAAAGATAATAGCGATATAAGACAAGATTCATGTTGTTGATTATTGGTTAATGCTTTTAATTAATTATCAGTAGTAGAGAATATATGATAATATTATTCACTGAATCAATGCCCTCCATTAAGAGAAACCAAATATTCATTATGAAATCTATTCAAAATTGAAAATAATAATAAAAAAGAATTATTTTCCACCAGTTCGCCGCCCTAATAGGGGAGATCCTCGAACGCCATCCCCATCATCATCGCCCATGGGTCAGCGTCAGCATCCCACCAGCTGCATCAGCAATAATAATATTATCCATCATCCATACTATTCACAATCAAGCCGCACGGGTAGGGGCAGGAAAATCGTCTGCACCATCGCCTTCCATGACCCCGGCGGCTACGCCTCATTAGTCGATGCAAGTTTCTAGTGGGAGTCATCGCGCGCTCATCGTGCTGCCGGAGAGGGTCTAATCGTCGGGTTGGGTGGAGTCAGTCGTGGCACCAGACATGGCCAGGCAGCCCAAAGATGGCCCAACAGCCCAATCATCCCAATCATTCCCCCTCGGCCAGCTTCACCTTCGCGATACTCCACTGGCTGCCCGCCCCCCCTCCTTAGTCTTCCCTCTTGTGTCTTGTCATTCATTAGATACACAGTAACTAACTTACTACTAAGTACTTACGAGACTAGTTAGTCGCTCGCTGCTCCTCTTTCGCCGCCCGCCCTGCAGGTTTCTCGCCCTCTTATCTTTTTTTCCTCCCCGGCTTGTCTCATTTTTTTCCCTTTTCTCTTTTCCCCCCCCCCTTCTCTTTTCGCCGCCGTAACCTCCCATACAAACCTTCTTCCTCCCGCCTCCTCCTCTCACCCCCCCCCGACTCCGAAACCTCTCCTGCTTCTCTCTCTCTTTCTTCCCTCATTCCTCCACACCTCTCTCCCCTTTCTTCACTCCCTCCCTCCCTCTCTCTCTTCCCCTCTGGCCTGGTTATTCCCTGCCAGTTCAAAAGGTAATAGAGTCTGTGTCCGGGAGCATTGAAGTGAAAATACACAATCCACCCACTGTTCAAAAGAACCGGAGATTCCACCCAGGAGAAAATTAAAGGCCTTTTTTCTCCTTCATCTCCCTCTTCTCATATTCATCTGAGATTATTCTCCATCATTCCGAAGTTCACATTCACACGTTGAGCTCTTTCGTCTCTTCCTCACCCACCGGACCTATTGAAGAACGTTACTGTCTCTTTCGTTTGCGACTTGCTTAATGCTGGAAGTGACCTATATACCTTGCATCCATCCTTGACAACCTCCGTGGACAAGACACGCTCTTACCGGGATTTGTTTCTTTTATTCTCTCGGAGCAAGAGCCATATAACCAACCCTGGGATTCCACCGCTCTTCTAAGTCGCCTTTCGTGTTCTGCATGTGTGCTTGTGTCAACCAAAAGTCGGATTAGCCTTATTTCTCAGCCTTGGAGTTTCCGGACGCTGTCTCATAGAACTGTACTTCGTGCTGTTTCTTCTTCCCCTCAAATCAACCCCCCATCTCCCTAAAAGAGACCATCTGCCACCACCTTCCTCTGGACCCGTCGGCTCTTCCTGATTTTCCCGGACCTCATTTGGCCATTTGGACCCGTTGCCTATAATTACATTAATACTGGAGACCATTTCCTGGAACAAACAAAAACAAAAATGACTGGCCGTCTTGGATATGAGGGGCGCCCGGAGCGTCAAAACGAATACTTCATTCCTGGCGATGGTATCAGCCGGGAAGTCATCCAAGCAGACATTTGCCGTTACCTTGGAAATGATGCGCTCGTAAGACCCGGAAACCACAATGTCTGTGCCCCGCTGCTTTTCCTATGCAATTTCTAAGATTATACGAACAATGACGCGAACATATGGGCGGGATCTGCCTTCTGGACGAATCAGTAACTGACTAGATGGGAAACAGGGTCGTCAGGGTTATTTCATTCGCGCCTACCGGAATCTCACCTCTGTATGTTGTATTTGGTTTTGTGGTATTCCCCAGGCGAAAAAGAACGTGTCCGACTAACAAATGGCTTGTGCTGCAGGAAATGATTGCTGACCTCAAAAAAGACTCGGCTCGGTGGGAGGCCGATGTTCTACGTCGGGCTGACCAGGGCTATCCCAGAGGTAGCTACCAACAAGAATTAAGCTATTCCCAGGCACCCAGCATGCCCGCGGCGTCCTACCCGGTGTCTGCCATTCATGAAGGACGTCAGCAGGGAGGGCCATCCCCTCCGCCTGCCTACTCAGCTCCTCCCCCTACTCAGCCATTCCCGGTGGATCCATATGCACAATCGTACCAGGCGACTCAAAGTCCCCCGTACCCTCCTGCATCAACTTACACCGGCCCCAACCATTCACCCTATGGATCTGCCCCGAACCCCTACCCTAGTGGTCAGATCCCCTACACTACTTCCAGCCAACCTCCGGTGACTGCTGAAATGCACCCGTCGTCATACACGTATGGCCCTGGCTATGTTTATGAGAATGGAAGGAGCAATGCCCCCAGGTATCCCGGGCCTGGCTATGAAACCGAACAGGACTATTCTCCAGTTACCACCGGGATCCCTTACCCTACTACCACAGCCCCGGACCCTCGGATAGGAATGGATCCCAGATACACTCCTGAGGCATCATACCCTCCGGCAGACCGCAATAGGCCACAACCAGCCAGAGGCGGGGAAGCCCCTCGCCGGACTAGGTAAAGAAAGTCAATGTCTGCTTTCTACGGGCGTATATACTATGAACCCTTTGTCCTTAACAGTCTATATCGTACCTGGGATCTTGCAGATATATCCACACTTCTGCTTATCCTCAGAGCCCTGAAGGACCAATCTTCCTTTATTTGCGTATAGGAACATGAGACCGGAAGGAACAGCGTGCATCATCGTTTGTCGGAAACAATTTGCAACTACCGGAGCCACATCCTTGGATCATCGGATATTATTTCTCCTGGACATCCATCCATCTTATCTCTGATATACTCTTGACTTTCCACCCAACGTCCATGGAGACGTTGCCTCGCGCTCTTGGTTGGCCTGGTTATCGCTCCATTGCGCGAGGCACACGGCCGTCTTTTTCTTTGGTGTAAAGCTTGGTCGACCCAAGCTATAACGTGATGGATTTACGAGGAGGCATTTTGGCTTTGTCTGTTGTAATTCCAGCCATTGCTGTGCTTTGTCTCTTTTCTGCCTTGCTGGGTTTTGGTTTCCATTGTCTGGTTATTCTGTGGTGTATTGGTTGTGGAATTCTCATGCGTTTGTGCCACAGTCTTCGTTCTTCGATCGGTGTTTTTCGACCATCTCCTACATGTTGAGTCCGATGGAGCGCCAACTGATTTCAGGAAAATATCAGCCGGGAGCTTTTGATGATATACAGTGATGCTGTTCACGAGCTATATGTAGATATGAGCATATACGGCGTTATTTTTTGTGGTTCGCTGGTTCTTCGATGGTTATTCGCATTGACCCAAGGGTATAATAATCGACTTACAAAGTCAAGCCAGTGTGTTATCTTGTACTTGACCCCTTGCCTGCGCGCACCCTAAACGCTGTCCAATTGCAAGTGACTGTCTGCATGCCTTGCCTTGCTCTCCGAATCGTATGCACAGAAAGCTAATTGATGTAAATCACAGAATCTCACTTGCTGAAGCAGCGTGACTCCAACATTGCTGGTATCTGCTTGTAATGATGCTCTCACCTTATCTCAATTGCCTTCAGCACATTGTGTACCGTGTTTCAATACGTGGGGAACAAGCTGTGTATTCGTATCGATTGCGACGGCATGCCGAGTGAAAGCCCGTTCCTTGTATATAACTTTTATATGCAACTACCAATACGGAAGCCCGCCTCTCACATTGTCTTTTGTTCCAACTTGTGCCAGTGATTTTGAATTGTAACACGCACCGAAGTTGGCCTCTGTTCACCCATTCACCATATAACACTTGTGTCTTTTATAATAGAGGTCCGGACTGGTATATTGTGAAGCACCGAGCAAGTTCAAGGCAACGATGCAATCAGTCACTTCTAGTCTCTCGGCGTCGTTCACAAGGCCACCTCGCTATATAATGCTCATGATTCTCTTTCTGCACCTTTCCAGAGACTGCTTCTCGCACTGCTTTAGCGACAAGTATCTGGAGAATATACTCAGTTGCATCAACTATGTCCGTCTTGGATTTTCCGCAGTACACTGATGGCGACGTTAAGCTCACCATCCACCCAGATGGTTACCGCTTGCATTCGAACAGGCTCTGCGAACACTCAAGGGTTCTGAGGTGCCTGCTAGGACCGCCAAACGAAGTCTCCCCACTGCCACATATCCAGGGAATGGATAATTTGGGTGTTTATAATCTTTATCTTATTGGCGAAGCTGCCCACAAGTTCGGGGTCTTCCAGCTTCAGGTAAGTAGACGCCCTATGATCAGAGTATATCTGTGTCAGCTGGGATTCTAACGAGCACCTACAGGTGCCCCGTCAGTTTACGAGTGAAACCAGAGGTTTTCAGGCTGTGGATTACATCCCAGTCTGGCCTATGAAAACCCGTCGGTGTTGGGAGAACATCTTTAGGATGTTTTATTTGCTGCCGCCAGTTCTCCACGATGATGGACCGGAGAAAAACTTTCTTGACAACAGTTGGAGAGTTGTTGAGCTAGCATCGGAGATCGAGGCGGAAGATTATATCTTTCCTATCCTCGGCGCAGCGCTGGAGGGCTACGAGCAGGAGCTGTATTATTCTATCTCGAATGACCCGATCGGTTGGGTGAACCTGGCCGTACGAATCCAGTCAGCCACGATCTTCAAAGAAAGTATTATTCATATTGTTGGCCGCTGGAATTACGTGACGGTTGAGGGCCACGCTTTGCTCCCTGGTCAGATCCGTGAGCTTTGTGAGAGAAAACATAGAGATCTGCAATACGACAAATGGATGATAGAAATGAACATCCTCAACCACCCCGTCGCTGATCCACATGATAGAGACATCTACATGTGGATGGCCAAAGCATTTTATCAGCAGTGGCTAGGCAACTCCATTGCTGAAAAAAAGACATACCGTTCTTTGGATGGTGGGGCTGCCTTCTACCGCGCCATCAATGCTGGTGGCAATGCCTATCTTCCAATAACCGATCCCCAGACCAACCTCATCTTACTGCCCATTAGACAAGACGAGGTTACACTCGTCGAAAACCGCCTGAATGTCTTGAAGAATGCTGTAAAGCATCTGGTTGATAACCTACTTCGGAACAGATCGCGGTTCAACCCCTTAGTATGGGGCGATTTACATTATTTGACATGTTGTGAAGTCAATCAGCATGACATCCCTTGGCTGGCAGATAGGGCTGCACATGAAGATGTAGCTCTTATGCATACCATGAACCCTGCTGTGCCCCTAATGTACAGGGACAATATTCAAATGGAGACACGTCAAATCCACACGCCTCGCATCCCCCAGATACTTATCGAGAACCCTTTGCCGGAGAACAATCCCCAGATAGTTACCCAGCGTCTCGCATCTCCCTACTCCCCATCACTGGAAATATCCCCTGATCGCAGCTCTAGTCAGCCCCGGAGTGAGCTGACCTACGCTGTCCATGAGCCTGACTTGTCATCGGATAACTCTCAAAGCAGCTTCATCAGCCCGCCTCAGTGGGATGAAGAGGATGATTCAACGGCGCGAACTGAAGCCGAGCACCCAGTGATACCGGCTTTCGATGATTTTATACAGACATATCCCGAGATGTTAAGTGGAGGAGATATTACCTTGGTAAACTATGCGAGCCCTGCCTTCATGTCTTCCAATGTCAATGTTTAAAGCCACGGACATAATACTCAGCACGATGGCTGAGAGTTTGGCTGTACTGTTTGTCTACAGCAGTGTCTTTTAATTCTGTGCTTCGGACTTTTCTTTGTTTTGCTACTTCTTTTTCGATTACATTCTCCTCTGTTTTACTATGTTCGTTATCATGTCTAGGTTTCTCAAATTCGGAGTTTTGTTTTCTTCAATCTTCTCTGATCTACTATGTTTATTTTCATGTCTCGGTTTCTTGTTTTCTGGCTCTTGTCTTTTCTCCTGTACATCAAGTTCAATGGTCCCTTACGGCGCAGTAAGGCTTCTTTCGGCGCAGTATTCCACTGGCCATCACGCATCTATCTCATGGTCATACCTCTTACCACAAAGACCAGACTCATAATACCAGCACAAACAGAATTCCGAAAATGAATAAAAAAAAGAGATAAAATTATGAACTCCGCTCTGTAACCATTTTCACATACAATAAATACACACACACACATCTTAAACCCCACCCACAGCACCTCACCCCTCCCTGCCAAAGAGCACAATGGGTATAAACATGCCCGACAGGAAGAAGGCGGAGGGGCACATGCACACGTAGGAAAAAAATAATACCCAAATACCCAGATCAAGGCTACTTCCGGACAAAGCGAGGCCCTTCGATCACTTGCTCGTTGATTGAACAGCCAGCCTCCCTTTCTTTCTATTCTATCCGCGCCGGAGTCGCACGTTGCCCATGATTCAATGCAGAGCTAGTTGTCGGTCCTGCCCATCGGTCCGTCCATCCTACCTATCCTTTCCATATCGCTATATCCGAGGTTAAAGTGGATTTACTCGTCATCGTAACCCTTCGGGAATGTGCGGGGACCGGCGGGGACTATCAATCGCAAGGCGCGAGCATGTCAGTATACACTACTAACTTCCCAAGACAGGCAGAGGCCGAATTGAAGAGTCGTCAGTGGAAGCGGGGGTGCAACATACTAGGATAAGACATAGGGATAGTCTCGGGGTCAACGTCACCCAAGGCACGTCTAAGCGGGGGCAAACCGACGAGAGCAACGGGGCCCATCGAGCCGATAATAAGGGAGTAGAAGATGGCGGGACGTTCGTGAGAAGCCCAGCGGAGGTAGCGGAGAGGCGTGGACCAGAACTGAGGCGTCGACATTGTTAAAGGATTTTCTTGTTCGTTGCGGAGGTGTTCGGGTGTGTGAGGCGGTAGCGGAACAGAATGAATATAATCAATCTGCGGATGGAATCCTCTATGGGCAATTAAGGCCGGGGATTAATTGAACCTGCGGAGAGGTAGGGCAAATTGAAGTCGGGGATTGCGACGCGGGCGAGGGGAAACGAATCGATGGAGGTTGATTGAAGGTGACGAAAGCCGCCAAAAGTGGATTTGCCGGGTCTTGGCGTTCGGTCCAAACACGTCGCCCGTTTGGGGTGTGTGTCTACGTATGTATCTACTACGTACTTCTTTCTTTTTGACGAGCTCTCATCGAACGACAAAACCATCATTCTTTTTGTGGTTCGCTCGTCGGGATATTTTGTTTCTCAGTTTGTTCCCTCCGCTGTGCGGAAAATTAGCCACTCAATATGCGGTGGTCTCTTTCCTCCCTCTTTCTGTTTGGCTTCTTGGCTGTTGTACATGCGCTCAGTAGTTCGGGGAACCGTCTGCTCGTTGTTTTGGAGGATGGATCGGAGAAGGATCTCTACTCTACTTTCTGGAGTGATTTAGAGAGTATGTATTCTGCAGGGCAGAATTTATAATTGAGTGGAATTGGCGTTGTGCTGATATATGCAATAGCTCGTGGATATGACCTCGTCTTCGAATCTCCCAAGAGTGACAAGCTCTCCCTCTTCGACCTGGGCGAGAGGGCTTACGACCACCTTCTTCTCCTGCCTCCTAGGTCCAAAGGTTAGCTGCGACTTTGGATTCGGATGTTATGCTACAGGGACACACAATTGACCGAGTGATCAGGATTTGGACCTTCTTTGAGCCCCAAGAACATCGTCGACTTCATGAACAAGGACGGTAACGTCCTCCTCGCGCTCTCGGGCAAGTCCACCACTCCCAGCGCCGTCAGCTCGCTGCTTCTGGAACTCGATCTTCACCTCGCTACCGACCGTTCGTCCGTCGTTGTCGACCACTTCAACTACGACACCCTGTCCGCGGCCGAAAAGCACGATGTCCTTCTCCTCCAGCGCCCCGGCCCATTGAGACCCGATACCAAGGCTTTCTTCGACGGAGAGGGTGTCCTTGCTTTGCCTAGGGCCGCTCCTCACACTCTCGGCGACCACGCGCTCATTGCGCCTATCCTGCGCGCTCCGGCGACTGCCTACAGCTACAACCCCAAGGAAGACCTGTCCGCGGGAGAGGATGTCTGGGCCACCGGCTCTCAGCTGGCTCTCGTCTCCGCCATGCAGACCCGTGCCTCCTCTCGCTTCACCCTGCTCGGCTCCGTTGAGAGTCTCCAGGACCAGTGGTTCTCCGCAACCGTCAAGGCGCCCAACGGAAAGGAGACCGGCACGGCCAACCAGGAGTTCGCCAAGCAGTTGACTGCTTGGACCTTCAAGGAGACCGGTGTCCTCAAGGTTGGCAAGATCGAGCACCACCTGGCTAAGGACGACCTTACTGCCGAGGACCTGAACCCCACCATCTACCGCATCAAGAACGAGACCGTATGTGCCTACTGACCAGTCCGCAACATAGCTGTCAACCCCTGCTGACGTGTCCCTATAGGTCTTCAGCATTGAGATCTCCGAGTACAGCCACGACCGGTACATCCCCTTCGAGGTGCCCGCCAACGATGCCCTGCAGCTCGAGTTCACCATGCTATCCCCCTTCCACCGCCTGAAGCTGGAGCCCACCGCCCGCACCGAGAACAGCACCATCTACAGCACGCAGTTTACCGTCCCTGACCAGCACGGTATCTTCTCCTTCCGGGTCAACTACAAGCGCCCCTTCCTCACCAACATCGAGGAAAAGCACGAGGTGACTGTCCGCCACTTCGCTCACAACGAGTACCCCCGCAGCTGGAAGATCAGCGGAGGATGGGTCTGGATCGCCGGCCTGTGGTCTGTGATCGGCGGGTTCCTGGCCTTTGTGTTCGTGTGGCTCTACTCGGAGCCCGCCTCGGCCAAGGTCAAGAAGACCCAGTAAAGTAATGTATCATCTGAAAGATCAGTAAATGAAATCTGCTGCACAATGCACGTCTTAAGAAAGGACGACCCAGCGTAGAATGCCCAAGTCAGTCTGCGTACAGACAGACCCATCCATTGCATATGTACAATCTAGTAGTATAGCATGAAAGTAAGAATACCCGTAACCCGACAATCATACACACTATCAAGGCACGGGCACATGAGCGAAGTAGTCCCAACAGTCAATCAATCAACCAAACTCCAAGCCAAATGCCAGCGAATACAACATAAAAGCACAGAGAACGTGATGTTACAGCGCGCAAGGGAAACCAGTCTGTGTCTGTCACCCACAACACCAGAATATAACTAACCCCCCTTCCCCACACCTCACAGACCACGAGTCTTCTCCGGATCCATCTGCACCTCATCACCGCTAATCTCCTTGACCGTCTCAAACGCCGGCTTGCCTGCATATAATTGCTGGGACGTGCTGGAGCCGCCGCCTTCCGTCGTCGATACCGAGATAGGCTGGTTTCCGCGGAACCGCTTGCGCATGTCGATGAGGCCGCGCCTGAAGATGAGGCATATTGTCAACTGACTGTGGGAGGGAAGACCTTGAGGGATGTGTTTTGGTCATGACTCACTTGCACTCGCTAAACCCCTTCCGCAATTGCTGGCATCGCATGGGAAGTTCGTCGACGTACGGCTCAGTCAGACATTCGCGGGGCGAGCGCCGTTGAACCATGATGCAGTCTGATTCTTGGAGACATTGCGCCAGGGCGTTTCCTATCAATTAATATAAGAATGGTTAGAGAGGTGTGAACCGGGGCATTATAGCTGAAGTTGGGAGGAGAAGGGACATTGAATGTGGTAGTAATATCCGTTCGTGGATACGTTTCCGAACATCCAAGCCGCAATTTAAGAACATGGAGGAGAGATAAAAGGATCCAACATACTGATCTCTTGGCAGGAACTCGGCATTTTGGGCGAACAATAAAGGCAAGGCCCGAATTGCTCAGCCAAATAATAACAAGTTAGGAACAACACCGGTCTGCGGCGGCGGCGGACATCTGGAGATAGTAATTTGCTGAAATCGGAAAACAAACTCAACCAAACGGGCGTTGCCCCGGATTAGGTAAGCCATCACATGAAGAAGAAGGGGCCCCCATGACGTCTGGGGGCGTGTGGAACCTGACTTAGGTTGCTTGCTCGTTCCGCTTGATTTATCCTATCCTTCTTTTTTCCCAGTCATGCGGTCTGAGTTTATGGAAGTATTGCTTCGGCGCATTATGGTTCATTACTACTACTGCTACTACCGGTGATAATTAATCTACGTGGTTGATTTGCGGACTGTCCCATCCCTGTGTGATAATAGGAGGGTTGGTCTTATCGTCATGGCGCGCGTTCCGGTCATTGGACGGCTTTTTTGGTTCGAATATTTGGCTCTGTTTGGGTCGTTGATTCTGGTGTTGCTGGAATGGGTTATACATATTATCACGTTTTGTCTGCGTAAGTAGTGTGTTCACGTTCTTTGGGGTGGTAGTGTAAAGGGGTAGTGGGCTAACTGGCGCAGCTGAACCTATCATTAGGTTCTGTTACGATCGATCCAAGAATATCTTCAACGCTTTCATTCCTCCAGATGACCCGGCCAAACGTGGCAAGGAAGAGAAGGTGGCTGCGTCGGTTGCTCTGGCGTCGGACTTCACGGATATATGCGCGCTGTTTGGGTATGAGGCGGAGGAACATATCGTTCAGACGGGGGATGGATATCTGCTTGGTCTGCACAGACTGCCCTATCGGAAGGGCGAGGAGGGGAGGAAAGTCAACCAGGGTGAAGGGAGCATCAGGAAGAAGGTCGTCTATCTCCACCATGGTCTCATGATGTGCAGTGAAGTCTGGGTCTGTCTGTCGGAGGAGCAGCGATGCCTTCCGTTTCAATTGGTTGAAAGGGGCTATGACGTGTGGTTGGGGAATAACAGAGGAAACAAGTACTCGAAGAAGTCCGTGAAGCACTCGCCCCTGTCGAACGAGTTCTGGGACTTTTCGATCGATCAGTTCTCGTTCCATGATATCCCAGACAGCATCAAGTATATCCTGGAAGTGACAGGGCAGCCGTCCCTGTCATACGTGGGATTCTCGCAGGGAACGGCACAGGCGTTTGCGACGCTGTCCATTCATCCTTTGTTGAACCAGAAGATCGATGTCTTTGTGGCTCTGGCGCCGGCAATGGCCCCGACAGGCCTCCCCAATCATCTTGTGGATTCGCTCATGAAGGCTTCGCCGAACTTCCTGTTTCTGCTGTTTGGCAGACGCAGCATCCTAAGCTCGACGACAATGTGGCAGACGATTCTCTACCCACCTATCTTTGTTCGGATCATTGACACGTCACTTCGCGGCCTGTTCAATTGGAGATGCAAGAATATCAGCCGCTGGCAGAAGCTGGCAGGGTACCTGCATCTGTTTTCCTTCACTAGCACCAAGTCGGTCGTCCATTGGTTCCAGATCATTCGACACCGGAATTTCCAGTTCTACGATGACGAAATCCATGCGCCACTCAGTATTGTTGCCAGTGAGCGATTTTACAAGCCGGTCAAGTACCCGACGAAGAACATTAAGACGCCCATTGTCCTGTTGTATGGCGGTAGCGATAGTCTCGTTGATATTAACGTGATGTTGTCCGAGCTTCCCCGGGGGACCGTGGCCAAGGAATTCCCGCAGTATGAGCACTTAGACTTCTTGTGGGCGCGTGATGTGGACCAATTGGTATTCAGCCATGTCTTCGAAGCGCTGGAGCGGTACAGCTCCGAGAATCAGAAAGGGACATTAATGGAGAAGGTTAATGGTGCCGCGGGCACATATGTACCGGCATGAAGTACGAGGTTCTGCACCAATGAAGACACGCATAATCTAGAGGGAGATTCATACCCACCATCGCCAAGTTTGACAGCTTGCGTGTTTCGACTCGCGGATCTGACTGTCTCAGCAGATCGCGATACGATAGACAAAGATCATTGTTCGCCTTACTTTGTATAATTGTTTGCCTATAAAGATGTTTGTTTAGCCTTGATTGTTTTTCTGTACAGCACACACACTATATCAGCGTCTGATATAACCTCAACACCGCCAAAAATTCCACAAAGACAATAGCGAAACAACGCAGTCCGGATGCCTCGAAGCTGGCAGACTCCAATGACCTTCATGGATACTTCAATACGAAGTACTACTTCGTTGCCTAGATAGATTCATGATAGATCGGCTCCCTACCCCTTCAGTGACATACGTCATATGTATCAAGCAGCAGCGCATTTCTTCAGATCCATATGCAGGGAGATGGTCCCAGTGTCGGGTCTGGTCTTGCTCTTCCCGTCCCCGACGCCTCACATCCACATGTGATGCATAGACCAACGCGTCCCCCATCACATCTGCACTTCCAGCAACCAAGCACGACCCAAACCAATGTTTGTGCAGCTCGTCCCCCCCAAAGAAAATAATTATTCCAATGTGACACATCAGCTTGGCTTTCAATCATGCTGATACAACCGCCCAAGTATCCGTACCATCCTCCTCCCCCTCCCTCCCCGGTCAGGTGGTTTATGAGATATGGATGGTCTGATTGCCCTAGCGCACCATCAATGCGCGTGCACATCGGTCCAATATAGATTACAGAATATAATAAATTAATGATAGGCACACAGACAGCCTGCCTCCCGGAAGTTGGGGACCGGAAGTCCGGTGGCGGTGGTCCGTACGTTTTATCTCTCAGGACTTAACAATCCAGTCTACCAGTGGCCCTAGGTCTAGTGCTGATGAGTAGCGATGGTGCCTCCCGCTTAGTTTCGGGGGTGCTTCCGTCCCTGGCAGACTAAAGTTGAGTCGGGTTGAGTTGGCGTCGGAATCTGCTTCCGGTTCCTGGAATCGGGCACATCCCGATGTCCTTTTGTTTTTTTCTCTTGCCCTTCTTCTTCTTCTTTTCCTTTTTGACTTCTAGGAAGGGGATGTTTGGTTATTGGCTTGGGCTTGCTGCTGACAGGTAATTTTTGGGGCTTAGATGAATAACCTGCATGGCATCGTATGAGAAGGGGGGTTTGTTTCTTGTGACAATGATGATGGAGAGAGAGATATTATTGCCATGAGAGGGGAAGAAGAAGATCGATCATTATGCTTGTCCTCGGGGCAAGACGGATGTGGGTTTTGGGACTTTTGTGAGCGATGTTCATGAGGTCTCTCCTGTAGATAGAGAGACTCACAACAGAGTGAGAGAGAGGAATGGTGTACTCTGTACTCTGTACTCTGTACTATTGCTAGTTTCTAGTTAGATAGTAGCACATCCAGTTAATATTTATTGATCAGTAGTCGCCATGGCCCGTCCTGCCTGTCCGGCGTCTATCTATCTATCTGCTTTATTTTTTCCTCGTCCTTGCAGCGGCTAACTAGTCTTGATGATTTCCCCGTTTCCCTGTTTCTGAGACATTGCTAGGTATCTAGTAGCAATTGGAGCCCGGCTGAGTGCATGTGAAGCTGAGTGTGAGGGTAAGAGTGTGTGTGTTGGCGCTGAAGAATTCGAAGTAAGGTAAGAGGGAATAATCCAGGTTCAGCTTCCATCGTCCATCCTGTCATCCCCATCATTCTCCATTACTCAATCAATCATCCTTTCCTCCAACCCACACCCACTCTTCCAATTCTACCAATCCACACACCTCCCTCTCTTCCCACCCCTTCAAACATGCCACATCCTCCCCTTCTGCGAGGCTCTGCTGAGCTCATCAGGGCTGCAGATCTCGGGGGCGGCAAAGAAAGATGACTACTGTATGAGAAGAAGAGGAAGAAGAAAAATCCACCGGATCAGGGGATAAAGGAGGGAGCGAGATTCAATTATTGGCCAAGCCATGCCGCGCCCGCCCCCTTCTTGAGGGAGAATGGATGGATGGATGGATGCGCTGGGCTTTCTGCCCCCATCCGCTGTGATCAGTTGCTACCCTCTACGGTTTCCTGCCAATTCGGAGGTAGAAGGACGGAGGGGGGGCGAAGGAGCAGGGAATTGATGGAAAGAGAAAGAGAATGAGAGAGGGAGACAGAGAGAAGGAGGGAGAGAGAGAGGCTGATACGATCTGATCTGATCTCAGACTCGAGAAATCGAATGATGGTGTTGTATCTCTTTCTGCCCCCCTCCCTCCCTTCTATCTCTCTTTCTCTTTTCTCTTTCTCTGCCCTCGAAAGTGATGCCCGTCAAGATGGGGGTCAACTACTACTTCCCTCTCTAGCTTATAACACCACAGCCAGCACCTTGCTCTTGCTCTACTATCCATCTACTTGTTTCTTTTCGTTCTGGATCATCGGGACCCAAGCCATCAAGCTGCTAACTAACCTCGACTGTACTAGGGGCTTAAGGTTTAATCCAGAGTCGGCCGCACAACAAATCGCCGTTCGATTCGAGGCTCACCGCCGCAATTTGGGAAGAGAGTCCCTGCCGTGCCTTTACTTTTTTTTGACTTTTTTTTTTTTTGCTTTTCCCTCTCGTGCAGTTCTTCAACGGGGGTCTTCAGGGATTAGGAAAAAGACGAAACCGAGAAAAGAAATATCTCAGAAACAGCAATTGATTCGATTGTCTCTCCGTTAGGCCGTTATTGCATCATATCGTCATCTTGTTGTGCTTGTCGGTAAGCCAAATTCGACGTTCTTCTCTGTTGCTGCTCTTCTTCAATGGAACTTACCGATCCTTTTCCTGTCCTCCCCACAAACCGAACCAGTCCGTGTTCGCTGACTTAGCCTCTGCCTACTGCTCCTCTGCTACTGCTCTGCTCTGCTCTGCTTTGCTTGTCTGGCTCTCACTCAACTCACTCACTCACTCATCCTCTCTCTCGTCCTTTAGTAAACTACTAGTGTCTTTTCTCTCCCCCAAAAGTCACCGACCGATCTGTTCAACAGCAGCTATCCTTCCCTACCTTCCCTCCTCTCCTCTGCTCTCCACCTCCACTCCCGCGCGGCCTTGCTTCAGACCGTCCCTTCTTCTGGCGCTTCCATCCTGCCAGCTCCCGGGGAATTGGTCGGGAATTGATTGGCATTGAGACCGATGTAACGGATCGCGTGTTGCTGCCCTTGCTCTCCCAGCACTTCCTCCCCGCCCACCCCCCTCAAAGGGAGTCCAGTCCACCTCCTTCCCTCCTCCCACCAACCCCCAAATTCCCCAATCTGCTTAATTCAATTCAAATCATCGGCGCGCATTGAACCTGAATCCACCGTCCACTCGATACCCTCACCGAGACTCGACCCTCATCTGTCGCAGCATTCGGATCGGGTTTAGTCTACATTCCAGCTTCGACCACTGATTCCGCCCCAGGATCAGACAATATAATTGTTGGCTTAGAAGTTACCGGAAGCCTATCGGAGTCGACTCTTTCATTTTCGCATCGAATCATACTCTTTCAATCGCCGAATACGCGGCTACCGTTCCAATGCGGCCCCAGTAAGCTCCGCCCCGGACTTTCTATTCCACTACAAACAACCGATCGGAGGTCGCCGCAGTCGCTAACATACTGGATTTATCATAGACGGGAATACCATATCGTCGTTTTAGGTGCTGGTGGGTACATACTTCTGTGACAGACTATGAGAAAGGTGCACCGCTGACCATCGGCCGTTGTCGGCGCAATAGGAGGTGTGGGAAAGAGCTGTCTTACTGGTATGCTCCTGGTCGCATATACTTGTCGGGTTCTCTGTCATGGTCGCTGATGCTGGGTAGCTCAATTCGTGCAAAATGTCTGGATTGAGAGTTATGACCCGACAATTGAGGATTCATACCGGAAGCAGATCGACGTGGATGTGAGTTTGGCTTCGTCCTTGTCTGGAGATAGTCACTGACATTTCTAGGGCCGGCAATGTATTCTGGAAATGTATGTGTTGTGCGCAGCGCATTTATTCCATAGCGCAATTACATCACTACGGCTAGTGGAGATAGCTGACTGTTGTATCCAGACTGGACACTGCAGGAACAGAACAGTTCAGTAAGTCTCCGTGGACACGGTCGCATTCAAATTCTCTAATACTAACATCTTCTTAGCGGCCATGAGGTAAACAATGCGCCCACCCTGGATCCCCTCCCCCTCCCCGCCCACTTATACGGGACGTTACCAACCGTTGCCATTTCGGGCCCCCTGCTGACGTTGGATCGCATTCCAGAGAGTTGTACATGAAACAAGGCCAAGGGTTTCTGCTCGTATTCTCGATTACGAGCATGTCCTCGCTGAACGAGTTGTCCGAGCTCCGCGAACAAATAATCCGCATCAAGGAGGATGAGAAAGTTCCCATCGTCATTGTGGGCAACAAATCCGACCTGGAAGAGGACCGCGCCGTGCCACGCGCGCGCGCCTTCGCCCTCTCCCAAACCTGGGGAAACGCTCCTTACTACGAAACGTCGGCCCGTCGACGAGCGAACGTCAACGAAGTCTTCATTGACCTCTGCCGACAGATCATCCGAAAGGACTTGCAAGGAAACTCCAAGGGCTCCGACTCAGATCGCAAACGGGAAGGTGGCAATCGGCAGGACCGTCGAAAGGACAAAAAGCGCCAGACCCGGCGTAAGGGACCCTGCGTGATCCTATAATTAGTCCTACTCGCGACCTTTCCCCAACACGACGAACGTACCACCGAATAAACGAGAGCAAGCGCATGGGCTAGCCCCCTGAACACTTACTATCTTATATCGCTCACCATTACGCACATGACTTATCCACTGCTCACTGCACATACCCCGTCTACAAAGCTTGTCTAATGTCGAAACACCTACTACTATTACTACTTACTACTACCACTTATTCACCCACCCCTTACCTGACTTTATCCTATGCCATGTTTCATCATACGCCTGTCCACGTGCTCCCACGATAGATATATGTGACTTATAGCCTCGAATATTTTTGTTTTCTTATACTTATCTTCTCCTATTGCTATGTCCTACATTACTACATTTTTGACTTTTACGCCGGAGGAATGGAAAAGTGTAAATTTGATCTCTTTCATTCATCTACCACTTTGGATGCTTCTCTTGTGCAAATGCAAACAGCGAGACTTTCTTTCTTTGTATCTTTCTAGCTTTCAGGATGTTGACTGCGAGAGAAAAGAAGCAGAAGCAGAATTGGATAGATTGCTCTACAGCGATAGGAAGAGAGATGAGATGACTAACCCCGATTGGTTTTCAAAATAGATATGTCGATCTCTTTTATGTTTCCTTGTGCTATTAATGGACTCTTGGACAGCTTGTAAGCTGTATTGTTTCATTTAGAGGGGGTGAAGAAGAAAGGAACCACTCAGTAGTATAGAAGAAAATATGTCCCCGGATAGAATGTATCTAGTTCGATCAATGGAAATGAATTGCTCCCACTTAATCAAAACACTGCATCATAGAAATACTATACTTACTTAGTACACGTGCTACATAATGTAAACACACGGTAGTAGATTCCCATGGGTGTCGGAGATACTAAGTAGTAAAGCCGGAAGTACTAGTCAATAGTATAAATGACGGCATTTGATAAGTATCTTGCGGCAGACGAGTTCCTGGGTCTCTTCTTCAATCTCTTCGATTGAACATAATTGCCTTAAAGACCTAACAGCAGCCAGTCTAGTTAAGACCCTAGCAAGGCCCCACAACCTTGAGGAAGGAACCCCCGCAAGAATTTACATCTCCTCCTTCCAATGTTTGGTCAACTTTGCGGATGATCACTTCTTACCACATGCGTCATTGCTAGGTACCTTCACCTTAGGATAAAGCTTACTCTATACATACTAGTTGAAGTATTAGCCGCATAGACCCCTCAACCTGCGGCGATGAATCTATCAGGATCAGCTATTAGCACCCCGCCGCACATCTCACCACTGCGCAAGCGCCAGAAGTTTGCTGTTGGAACAAATCAGTGACCGACACGTCAGCTCCAGTGATCGTACATAGTTTCAGATGCCCCTCCTCGTCTAGCCAGCAACATGACTTCTTCAATGGTTCACCTTTCCTGATATAACCCATTACTTTGGGTTGTTAGCCATGGCTACGCTCTGCGACTATTGCTCCGCATTAGCCGAAGGACTTTCAGCGCTGTCTCCTGCGGGCTTTGAACTTGAGGATAGCTTGCTGCCTATAGATTATCAAACATTTGCCTCTACTGTGTATTATTATCACCCCAGCGCTTCCGAGCTTTTGGATTCAGCCTTGGACTGTGCTCTATGCTCATGCGTATCACGGGCTGTCGAACAGTATCGGTCTCAGTACGGCCAACTGGATACAACCGATGACGACCCTGTTATTATCCGCGTGAAAGGCAGATACTTGCGGCCTGGCGAATTCAAAGTCCTTTCATGTCTCATACAGACGCTTAACACCGATGCAATTTGCATACAATGTTCGCTGTATTGTGATGCTGGTGAGCAGTTTCATACCTTCCCGTACCTCCCAGCGAATGGGGCCTTGCTTTCAGGTTTCTTCTCCAGTTTAGTTGCGTTGCCTCTGCTTCCCTTCTCCGATCGGAAGCGGCAATTAGCTTTTTACGTTGACTCGGAAATCCTTCTCATCAGCCTCAGACTAGTTCCCTGATATATGTACGCACATAGGTGACGTTGGCAGCTGCTCTGGCCAGTTGTTTCTAAGCCCTCCCGCCCTCCCAGGGTCTCCAGCTTCGTTAGAATGGATACAAGAACGGATGAACTACTGTCTCTCAAACCACGAGCGATGTAACCGGGACATTGCAGGCGCACAGCTTGATCTGTTACCGGCTCTACCAACACGGGTGTTGGATCTGGGAGAGGGCCAAGACTGCTCTACAGTTCGCCTGGTTGAAGGCGCTGGGACTCAAGCGGCCTATACTGCGCTCAGCTACTGCTGGGGTCTCCCAAACCAGTGGCCCCTTCGTACCACGCATGACAACTTGCAGCAACATACAAGTGGCATCTCGATGGAAAGTCTGGAGCCGACGTATCGCGATGCCATCTGCATCACACGCAGCCTTGGAATACGATATCTATGGATCGACGCCCTATGCATTATACAAGGGGATGATCAGGATTGGAAACATGAATGTGAGCTCATGGGCCGGTACTATGGGAATGCGCGCCTCGTAATCTCTGCATCTGGGGCAACACATCCGGGTGAAGGGTGTTTTCTCCCGGGGCCATCCCGTGACGAAGTTATTCTTCCATTCTATTCACACGGTGCCGTGACTGGCTCCTTCAAGATAGTAATGTCGGGGCCTCCATTTGGTCAGTCGGGCCCCGCTTTCTCCCCTTTAGGGAATCGAGGGTGGGCCACTCAAGAATGGTGGCTGTCCCGAAGGATAGTTCATTTCCTCGAAGGCTATATGGTCTGGAGCTGCGCATGCCTGGATCAGTTTCGCTTGGGAATACTTTCAAATGGTCACACGCAGGATTTGGTGATGTATTCAGACTGGATGTCGATCGCGTCGATTCACTCCAGACGAGCCCTTAGCCGCCCAACTGACCGGCTTGCGGCCATCCAAGGGCTTGCCAACGAGTTCAAAAAGACACGCCAAGATGAGTACGTAATGGGTTTCTGGACAGGTGAACTCCCGACGGCTCTGCTATGGAAGGTAGGCGATGATGGCCGTGGGAATAATCGATCAGAGGCCTTATCAATCTTCCCTTCTTGGGCGTGGGCTTCTGTTGCCTGTGATTTTGAAGAGTGGTACTTTGCCACGAACTTTGCAGAGGAAGAAAGCTTCGAACCGATGGCAACCGTTTCTACTATCATGGAGGGTGGCATGCGTCTGCGTGTCGCCGGTTGTATGACAACCGGGATGCTCGCTGAATCATGCGGTGGGGAGGTAGTATTATTATTAACAACCGGAAACCCTCCAAAGACGTCTGAGTGAGAATATCTGCAACATTTTGAACGAGGGCGGCGGACATGATTTTCCTGAACATTTAGTGTAAATTGATGTAGTAGTCCTTACCTGAAGAGGTCACCCTGAAATGAGATAGGACGTAAGAACTCCCGAAGGAGACACTTATTAATCAGTTAGATTGAGCAACGTATCATCACTACCCCACACTAGTAAGCCCGGAGATCTCGGGATCAAGATTTAATAGCATAAGTTCGCCGATACACCTCATCGATCCTTTCCAAGTAGTATGTTCCCGGTGCCAGGGAAGCTATGTCGCCAGATGGGGTGTAGTTGTTGCTTCCGTAGGCTTTTAGTCGAAGTGCGCAGGCCTGGTTATACAAGATATTAGTATAGGGCAACAAATGAAAACGTTGTATGAGTCTGTTAACCTACCTCTTCATATTCTTCCGGGGTAGCGACATGTCTCTGCTTTAGACGATTCATGAGATCGATTTTCTCAACCATGGGGGCTAAATCGCCTGTTACTTTCAAGGCGAAGAGGGTGCTGGCTAGACCGCTGCCGTACTTTTTTTCATAACCTTCGTTAGAACCGAATGATGCTATCTAGTAGTTGAATCTGGGGAAAAGGCCGACTTACACTGAACATGCCAATAGTCTTCCCCTGCGCAGTAGCAAGATCGATATTACTGATCAGGCTGATAAGCGAGCAATAAAGACTGCCTGTGTACATGTTTCCACACAAGGATGGGGCAGTGATGCATGGTTCAACGCGCTCTTTGAACTGGTTCTTTGTTAGAGCTACGAGCGCTTTCTCTAGGTTCTTGTCTTTGAGGGATTCTTCGTAGGTCAGGGTGCGGAGCTCAGGCGGGATGTCGGTCAGGTCGGTGTTTGGTTTCGAGCTCAATTGATGGAGAAGATCGTTGTATTTGAGTCGACCATAGGATTTGCTCATTAGTTTGCAATTTGGGGTGTGGAAAGCCATGTAGTCGAAGAGGTCGAGGACAGTTTCCACGTTCTTATTGTTCATGCTTCTGCGACGGAGGAGGTCCTTGTGGCATCCATCCAAGGCACGTATATAGCAAGTGATCGATTCATGGCCATTAACGAGAGGGAACTCGGCTTTGAGGTCTGGTTTGTAGAAGTCGTATGTGTGCGTCATGTAGACACCTCTGATGCTGTGGTCTAGGGAGAGCAGTGCGTTGGGACCCACGAGCATGGCAACGCAGCCTGCGCCACCTGTAGGACGGGAGGAAGACTCCTTGTAGAGGGCAATATCAGATGCTACGACGATGGCGTCCCGGCCGTCCCAGGACCGTGACTCGACCCAGTTTATGGCATTGAAGAGGGCGTTGGTCCCGCCGTAGCAGGCGTGAATGGTGTCAATACCTTCAATGCTTGTGTTGCCGGAGGGCTCGAAGAGGGTTGTAAGGACGGACTTGATGGACTTGGCCTTGTCGATTAGGGATTCCGTGCCTACTTCGAGACGTCCGATAGAGTTGGGATCGATGCTGTATTTCTTGAGGAGGGAGGACACGGCTGTCAAAGCAAGAGAGCAGACATCTGAACGGTTTGTGAGTAGGGGTTCTTGTTACTTAAGGATGCTAATAGTCTAATTCAAATGGAATATACCTTCTCTGTCGGTACAGTAATTCATGCACTGGAGGCCTAGTCCAATGGTGTACTTGCCGGCGGAGACACCTTGGTATTGCTCGAAGAGGGTCTGATCCAGACACTGTTTAATCAGGTAATCAGACAGGCTCTCAGACGATTAAGAGTTGGAGTACCTGGGCTGGGACATAGATTTCCATGGCCTTGATGCCAACATTCTCTGGGAAGGATGTCATGGTGCGGATGATATCAGTTATGAAGGCAAGCTGAAGCTGTGTTGGGATGAAGATGTAGAACTGAAGTACTGAGATGAAACAGATGGATGCCCCCTTTTATAACTATTTCCCGCTGCTGCCTATTTGCTTCAGTATATATTGAAGCAAAGGTAAGTGGGTATTGGGGCTGTGAGTTTCTAGCCCTCCATCGTGTTCACACCGGTAACATCATAGGCACCTAGAGCAAGGACACAATGAGTTGCTCGGACCACGTAGCGAGAACTAAGCTGAAACTGCAGAATCGTATTGGACAAAGGAGCCTTTGCTAGAGCTACTAGCTGAATCCTATATTCACCGTTCTAGACATAGGATGAAGAGTACGGCGTATATCAGGTCCTGAGTATGGGCATGTCAGATGCACCAATAACTGTTGGCAAACCGCACAGCGGGTCTCCTAGTGAGATTCCTCATCGGTTAGATTGCTTCTTCTGATCGTCATGGCGCCGGATGAATGGATGTGAAAACCTGCTGGTCTGTTGTGTACTTTGCCATGTCATTGAAATCTGAGACGTTCTTGGCAAGCACCGAACTGATGGCCACGGGCACCAAGAATAGCAGCGACAAATACGATTCTGTCGAACATGAGGATTCAAGTTTGTTCAATCAATTGATGAGGATATGTTGTGACTGCAGCGTTTGCCATGTATACAAGCGACAAAAGCAGCAGCAGAACCGGGTCACGGTTGTGGTGAGGCCGAAGTGCTCAGGCGTCACTAAACCACATGATCTGCAGTTTCAACGACCAAGTCGGTTTCGTTATAATCTCAAGGTCTGGTCTGATGATCATTTTGATTGGCAATGGGCTGCTAGTAGGATGCATGGATCATCGTAATGCATGTTTGGCAAACCAATGCTCGGAGATGAAATCTTCCCTATAAATCACAATCCTGCTGATACATATTCAAGTTACTATAGCCCTTCATTTTTAAAATATGTTTTTGTAATCGGAAACCCCATATGACATCCCATAGCTAATCGAAAACCACCGTTCCAGAATAAAGTGCTACATAGCGGAGGCCAACAGAACAGGTAGTTGTTTTCAGGGCCGGAGAAAATCACTCGAATATAATTATCCATATCCCGTTTCATTTCAACTAAAGCACCTCACATCCGGAACACCCCAAAACGGGTCTGCACATCATCTACCTTTCCACCCACAGCAGCTGCCAGCCCCAGACCAAGGAAGCGTCTCGTCTGTGCGGGAGGAATGACGCCGTCATCCCACAGTCGTGCAGAGGAGAAAACTGCCTCTGACTCACGATCAATCCGAGCCTTGAGGTCCGGATCAGCTGTCCGCCCTACAGCTTCCATGACAGCAGAGAGTTGCTCCGATCCCATGACACCAATCTTGGCGTTGGGCCACATGAAGAGAAGACGCGGAGAGTAAGCACGGCCACTGCAAACGTAATTAGTAAGTAATAGGATGAAGAATGTAGAGTTTGATCAAGAACTTACCACATTCCATAGTTGCCCGCGCCAGCGCTGGAACCAAATACGACTGTAAATTTAGGGACGTCTGCGCAGGCCACAGCCGTAACGAGCTTTGCACCATTCTTTGCAATGCCGCCCTTTTCAGCATCCGCGCCGACCATGAAGCCAGAAATATTCTGGAGGAAAACCAATGGTATTTTGCGTTGCGCGCAGAGCTCGATGAAGTGTGCTCCTTTCAGGGAGGACTCGGAGAATAGGATACCATTGTTGGCGACAATACCGACTTGATGACCAAAGATACGAGCAAATCCGGTGACAAGCGTCGTGCCATAGTCTCGCTTGAATTCGGCAAACTCACTGCCATCGACAATACGGGCGATGACTTCGTGGACAGGGATTTGGCGCCGGAGGTTGGTGCCCACGATGCCGTTGAGTTCCGTTGGGTCATACAACGGCTCCCTGATGGCATCACTGGGAATGTCCTTGAGAGGAACGGTTGTTTTGGGGTAGTTGAGGTTGGAAATAGACCTCCGGGCGAGAACAATGGCATGCGCATCGTCAACAGCAAGATAGTCTGTTACACCCGAGATTGTGCTATGGAGTTGACCGCCGCCAAGGTCCTCTGCGGAGACTTCCTCACCTGTAGCAGCTTTGACGAGAGGAGGACCGGCCAAAAAGATGGTACCCTGGTTCTCGACAATGATGGTCTCGTCGCTCATAGCCGGCACGTAGGCTCCACCAGCTGTGCAGGGACCCATCACGACGGAGATTTGCGGAATGCCCAGAGAACTCATGCGGGCCTGGTTGAAGAAGATGCGGCCGAAGTGTTCCTTGTCTGGAAAGACATCTGCTTGGTGGGGAAGATTTGCACCGCCAGAGTCCACGAGGTAGAGGCAGGGAAGCTTGTTTTCTTGAGCAATTGCTTGCGCGCGGAGGTGCTTCTTGACCGTGATTGGGTAGTATGTGCCTCCCTTGACCGTGCTGTCATTGGCAACGATCATACAAGTGACACCTTCGACCGTTCCAATGCCCGTTATGATGCCACCTGCGGGGACATCGTCCGAGTAGACATCATGGCCGGCGAGTGGAGAAAGCTCCAGGAACGAGGTGCCCGGATCAATGAGGGCGGTAACTCTGTCGCGAGGGAGCATTTTCCCTCTTGCGATGTGTTTATCCTTGGCTTTCTGCGGCCCTCCTTGGGAAATTGTGCTGTGGAGACTGGCCATCCGGTCGAGGAGCTCCTGCATTTGCTGGGCATTCTCCTTGAAATCTGAGGATGACGTGTCCACTGCTGTGGGAAGAGCCGATATGGCGGATGCATGATGAGGATGCGTATAGCTGGCAACGGATCTAGAGAATGCAAGAAAAGGCGTTCTCGTCGAGGGTTGTCGCACAGGTAGACAGCGGGAGGGAAGGGCGGGTTGTTTGGATCGCAAGCTCCGCAGGAGCGGAGACGGAGCACGCATTGCGGGGATGTTGGAACTGGATGATCTGGGGATACTCGGGGGTGTAGACAAGAACGTATTTGGGGAATATGACTTATATGCAGACTACACCATGGCCGGTGCAAGCCGAGGAAAGCACACGAGGTATTATTGTAGTTGGTAGTGGATGAAGACGATTGCAGACGCCGAAATGGCCGAAGCAGGCAAGCTGCAGGTGACTTTGCCTGCCTTGAGAAGTGCGGAGAAGGGCGGCGATGATTGCCGCGGGTAACCGTGCTCATCCCCGTGTTTATCAACTAGTATGCACACCGTCATCCGAGGATGCGTGTCCGCCCGTCCTAGCTGCCAACCTCTTTTCTTCTTACTCTTAATTTGTGCCATTCATAGCTGAAGAGTTTTACCAATTGCCTCCCAGTGTGTGTGTGCTCAGCGCCATGGCTACATTCCAGAAATTCCCCTTCTTCGTCCGCCAGTCCTCTCGGACTCTGGCTCGGTGCAGGAAACCCCTCATCCAGCCCCCCGCACTACGCACTTTAGTGATGAAACACCCCAAGGACTTCGTCCCTCCCACAGAAGAAGACCTGTTAGAGCTTCGTGAGCGTGTACAGGAGTTTACAAGTATGTAGATTGTCCTGCCAGATGATGTGCTCGGCATATACTGACTCCCGCGTGCGAATCAAGGGCGCGAAATTCCCGAAGAAGTTGCCGCGCAGACCGACGCCCAGAATGAGTTCCCTGCAGAGATGTGGAAGAAGCTGGGCGAAGCTGGGTGAGTATTCATATCATATGTAAACTAAAGATCTCAGTTCTGATTCCATCAGGTTCCTTGGTATTACAGCCAACGAAGAGTACGGTGGGCTAGGGATGGGATACCAGGCTCATTGCGTCGTCATGGAGGAGATCAGTCGCGCATCTGGTATGGATCCCATTGAATGGCTAGCCAAGTGTAAACTGACCTGCTTTCTTAAACAGGAAGCATTGCCCTCTCCTACGCCGCACACTCCCAGCTTTGTGTCAACCAGCTCTCCCTCAATGGAACCCCCGAGCAAAAGGAGCGATTCCTTCCTGGTCTCCTATCAGGCGAAAAGGTCGGCGCCCTAGCAATGTCTGAGCACTCTGCAGGATCAGACGTGGTTAGCATGAAGACAACAGCCAAGGCCGTTGATGGTGGATTCCTATTGAACGGTACCAAGATGTGGATTACCAACGTGAGTTTGCAATTGCCTCCTCCCTTCCAAACGAAGCACCAGACCTAACCTGGACATATCTCCCAACCATCAGGGCCCCGACGCAGACTTCATCGTTGTCTACGCAAAGACCGAACCCAAGAAAGCCTCCAAGGGCATCACAGCCTTTGTAGTAGAGAAGACATTCAAGGGATTCTCCTGCGCCCGCAAACTAGACAAATTAGGCATGCGCGGTTCCAACACCGGCGAGCTTGTCTTCGAAGATGTCTTCGTACCCAAGGAGAATGTTCTCGGAGAAGTCAACCGCGGCGTCAAGGTCCTAATGGAGGGCTTGGATCTGGAGCGTCTTGTACTTAGCGCTGGTCCGTTGGGGTACGTTCTCCAGTTCTCCTTGCCATCCCTACGTCGTCCACACGAACCACTAACATATACCAGTATCATGCAAGCTGCTCTCGACCTCGTTCTCCCTTACACCCACGTCCGCAAGCAATTCGGTATGCCCATCGCCCACAACCAGCTGATCCAGGGTAAGCTGGCAGACATGTACACCAAGCTTGCGGCATCCCGTGCCTACACGTACGCCACGGCCCGACAGATTGATAACTCGGCCGCGGAAGGATCTGGGGCTTTGATCCGGACGCAGGATTGTGCCGGCGCGATCCTCTATGCAGCGGAACGGGCGACGGAGTGTGCGCTGGATGCGATCCAGCTGATGGGTGGAAATGGGTACATCAATGAGATCCCTGCGGGACGGTTACTACGCGATGCGAAGCTGTATGAGATTGGGGCTGGGACGAGTGAGATTAGACGTATGGTGATTGGGCGTGCGTTCAATCGGGAATTTGCATAGATTCCGTGCTACATATACCAGCAAGACCTACCTGATCTATCTGATTGACCGGTTACGGGTTAGATACCAAGGATGTAACAAGTTGTATGTTCGTGTTCTCATGTACTCATTTCTATACACAGTGAAATCAATTACTTCTTGTTTCTGGCCGATCTCCGCACCGGTCCTGCTGGCGCAGGATTGGGGGCTTTGGCCTCTCCGACTTTCTGGGTTGCGACGCGTTTCGATCTCGTCTTACTGGTTGCTTCAGGGACAGGTTCGCTTTCTTCTTCAGCCTTGCGCTTGCGGCCTCTTGTTGCTGGCTTGTCTGCCGGTGCAGCAATGACACCGTTTGGTTTCGACTTGGGCACCTCAAGAGAGTCAGACGGCTTTATACCATCGGGAAGGTCCTGAGTACCTTCCGTAGTTCCAGTCTCAACCATGTCCGTGTCACCGCCAGCAGCAGGCACGTCTTCCAGCGTACCATTGCCTTTTTCGCTTGACATCTTCACATCCACTCCGTCCTCGATATCTGCATCCTCGCCGTCGTCTGCCTCTACATCATCGGCGCCATACAAATCCACCACTTCCGGTGCACCAGTTCCTCTGCGTCCCGCGGCGTCTTTCCTAACCCTAGCTCTTCCAATCGCGGGGTTCGAATTGCGGAATACCTCCCGCCAATTCTTCAACAGTGCGACCTTCTCTCCCTCACCAGGCTCATGCAGCGCAATTTTCAGATCGTCAGCGGGGCTTTTCCACACCACACCCTGGAATGCTGCGATATCGAACAGACCCTTGGAGGGGTGCTTCCAACTGCGTTTCGTGGGCGGAATACCTGCGGAGAGGGTCTTTTGGGCTAGAAGGGCGTTGAGGGCACGTTGACGTCGGACTGCGGTCGGGTCTTGGTCGTAGTAATCGTCGGAAAGGTCGTCCCAGTCGCTGAAAAATTCTTCAGCTTCGAGGGCCGGGTCGTCATAGAAGATCAAGTCATTTGTTGCGGTTGCTGTCGCGGCGAGATCGTCCTATAGTATATTGCTGTGTTAATTTTGATCATCTGAAGGGATTGAGTTGGGAGAGAGGTATAAGAGGTGGAAGAAAAAAGGGGGTGGAAACGTACAGCGACAGTTGGATCGGGCTCTTCTACCCAGAAGATGTCTTCGTCATATTCATCATAGTAATCTTCGTCATCAGACATGGTTGCCGATGTGAGAAAGTATTAAATGTGGTGAGGGTGGTGAAAATGTAAGCAAAATTGGGGATGTGGTTGATAGCGAATGAAAAGGGAAGTAAACGATCGCACAACACAGCAAACAGAAGAGAGAGTTCAAGACAAAATCCAATGGAAAGCGCTGCAATAGGCGACCACTTCAACACAATTAAGGGTAGGTAAACTCGAAGCGCAGATCAAAAGCCACTCCTCAGGCACGGCGCAGGACGTTGATGCAATGGTCTGGCTGGCTGGAATCTTGAAAAAACCGGCGGGTGGATCTCACCCGTCACGTGCCCGCTGCTTCCCCGCAGCTGCGCTTTGCGTCGGCTGAAGGGGTGCGTTGCAGCGCCGTACAAGAAGCTCGGCTGGGGGAGCTTGGTGTCATTCCAAATCCATGTCACTCGTACTTTTGGATATGCTAGCTGCTTTATGAACGTGCCCTTTCCCTGTGGTGTTGGATCATCTTTTCGTGGCACTCAACTGATCAGCCGCCTCTCTTACAATGCCGCTCTCCTCTCTTCTCCGCACTTCGTCCCGCCTGGGGCCGCCGGTAGTTCGAAGGTTCAGAAGAGCGGCCTCCACTGTGTCCACCACGACGCCCAAGGCTGAGAAATCACTGGACTCTATTTTAATCGCAAATCGAGGAGAAATTGCGCTGTGCGTCTGAGCCCCGAGTGAAGATTTCTGGTATTTTTTTGATTGTCAGTACTAATATGGGGTGATCTGTTGCAGTCGCGTTGGACGGACCGCTGCTCAACACGGAATCCGAGTAACGACGCTCTACACCGATCCGGATAGCAAGGCTCAGCATGCGCTGAGCTCGCCATTTGCCTTTAACTTAGGATCCGTCTCCGCTTACCTCGATGGAGATCGAATTATTGAGATTGCCAAGAAGGAAGGCTGCCAAGGGATACACCCCGGTTACGGCTTCGTGAGTGCTGTCGTTACACACAAGCTGCGAAGATACTAACATTTCCAACACCGTTCCAGCTGAGTGAGAATGCGGCATTTGCGCGGAAGTGTACGGAAGCTGGACTGGTCTTCATTGGACCTCCTTGGAAGGCTATCGAAGACATGGGTGACAAGAGGTAACATGATGAACGCACTCTTGTGAGCATAGGCTGACAGTCATAAGCCAATCCAAGAAGATCATGACTGCTGCTGGAGTACCGTGCGTACCCGGCTATCATGGCGACAACCAGGATGTCAACTTCCTTGAAGCCGAGGCCGACAAGATCAAGTACCCCGTGCTGATCAAGGCAATCAAGGGCGGCGGCGGCAAAGGAATGCGCATCGCTCATACCAAAGCCGACTTTCAGGCACAGCTGCAGTCGGCCAAATCCGAGGCTATGAATTCATTCGGGGACGATCACGTACTGGTGGAGAAGTACATTACCACACCCCGCCACATTGAAGTGCAAGTCTTTGCAGACAAGCAAGGGAACGCTGTTGCTCTCGGAGAGCGGGACTGTAGTATACAAAGAAGACACCAGAAGATCCTTGAGGAGTCGCCTGCTCCGCACCTTCCCGATGCAACAAGAAAAGATATCTGGGCAAAAGCCCGATCTGCTGCGTTGGCTGTTGGCTACGAGGGTGCTGGTACCGTGGAGTTCATCTTCGATAATGATACTGGCGAGTTCTTCTTCATGGAGATGAACACTAGACTCCAGGTGGAGCATCCCGTCACCGAAATGGTCACCGGTCAGGATCTTGTGCACTGGCAGCTCAAAATCGCGGAAGGCGCCCCACTTCCCCTAACCCAGGAAGATGTGGAGGCTTTTATGGCCAGTCGCGGTCATGCTATCGAAGCTAGGATTTACGCTGAGAACCCTGACCAGGGTTTCATTCCAGACTCCGGCACTTTGCTCCATGTCCGTACTCCCGCCGCTACTGATGATGTGAGGATAGACGCCGGATTCGTCGCAGGCGACGATGTCTCGGCACATTATGACCCCATGATCGCAAAACTGATTGTGAGGGGCAACACTCGCGAAGAGGCGATCCGCAAACTTGCGAATGCATTAGAGGAGTATGAAGTGGCGGGTCCTATCACGAACATTGAGTTCCTGAAAACTGTCTGCAGAAGTCCTGATTTCATTAGCGGGAATGTGGAGACCGGCTACATTGAGAAACATCGCGAGGAGCTATTCACACGGGAGGCGATTGAGCCCGAGGTGTTGGCACAGGTGGCTCTGGCCTGTCTTCACCACGATTCGAATCCGGGAAGTGGAACGCAAGCCAACTTTGAAGGCTCTGCCGTTGGCTTTGGCCCAGGATACCAGGCACGACAAATCTCACTTGCAGAACTAACCCCGGGAACAAAGAACGACTCCAAATTTGACGTTAGGGTGCAACAGACGGGTGACGACACATTCAACGTTGATGTTGGGGGACGTTTATTCGAGCAAGTTGTAAGCCATCGTGATCCAGCTTCGAAAGTTGTAACCTCCTTCTTCCCTCACACACGCCTGGACACGACGGTGATCCGCGATGAGGACACGATCATCGCTTTTCAGCGGGGTACCCAATACCGCCTAACGATCCCACGCGCCAAGTGGATGGAGAAGGCGTTGGGAATGAAGGACGTCACGAACAGTGTTCTCGCACCGATGCCATGCAAGGTGCTGCGTGTGGAGGTAGAGGCAGGCGACGTGGTAGAAAAGGATCAGCCACTGGTGGTGATTGAGAGTATGAAGATGGAAACAGTCATCCGCAGTCCACAGAGGGGCACCATCTCCAAGGTGGTACATAAAGCAGGAGTAAGTCACGCGGCCCCTACCCCTTCCCGATCATGACCCCCAGCACCCCTGAAGAAGACTACCTTGTCCCGAGACTGGGTCGATCTGAGCCTCGCCATGCTGGAACAGCCCAGGCTAGGCCTGCCAAGGGACATCTGCGTTCTCTCTTCAGCTCACAGGCATTGCTCCACTTCAGCTGTCGACGCGTATACTTCAAGGCTGGCCATTGCTAACAGGTACTTTACAGGATCAATGTAAAAGCGGGACACCGCTGGTTGAATTCGAAGAGGGCGGTGAGTAAGTGATACGTGGTTCAACTCTGACCATGTTGGGGTGACTAGAATCCGGGAATTTTGTGGCATTTACACCGGTAGCTTGGATGTAATGTATGGAGATACTGCCCTTTGAAGTACACGGTGGTCTGAGAGTTACTCCGATACTGATAGGAACAAGAACCAACTAACATAGTTGCAACAAAGTGCTCTCCGACCGGGGAGGTGCTGAGCATGCTATGTGGACATGTAACCAGAATATATGTTTTGAGCAGTCTTTCAATGGCGGACAATCTGACATGTGCAGCGATTTGACTACTTGCATACTCAATCTGTATAACCTTTCGTTTGCAACCGCGCCACGCATACAATGCATCGAAGAAAACCACGAGTCTAGACTCTACACAACACATTTGTACAATATAACATCAGAGATGGGTCTCGAATCGAGCTAGCTGGGATCCTGACCCAGTGGTCCCCACACTGTACCCACCCGTCACTTTTAGCGCACTCAAACCCGAACAAGACTATAGACTACTTTGTAGACAGTAGACTGGTGGTGCACACATCACGAGTTGACCGATCATTTAAGCTGAGTAGTAGCAGTACTTTGTACCAAATATGCAGATGGTTTCGAACTTGAAAGTAGCAGCATTGAGGCAGCCATATTGTATTGCAGGATATGGTTGAGTTGGGAGGGTTCAACTTTCAATGTAAGGTTCGTCCTAACCATGGACATAAACTGGGGTAAAGCATTTGGTTAGTGTGCCTGATCCCAACTTCATAATACTCAAACTGAAATCCAAATAGTGGGGTCGATATTGGGAATGAGCTCGAAAGTTGAGATACTGGTCATGTGGTTAGGTGAGACTAATGACCCACATAATGTATACAAGGCATGCCGGTACTTGAGTAGCGCCTTGTGGCCCGACGAATTGAGTTTGACATCTCGCATCATCCGTAGTGGCTACTTCAGGTGCCCAATGCGCGCCGGGAGCTTCGGGACTCTCCCGGTGAGTGTGTTGAGAGGAGAAGTGTCTATGGGGTGGTCGAGCCTATAGTGCATGCCGATAAGAGACAAAGATTCTGTAGAGAATTGGAAGGAAAGTCAAAGAACCTCAAAACAAGAATTCTGATACCTGGGGTTTTGATAGCAGTGGCGTAGGGGCGAGTCACGCGGACTGCAAAGGAAGCTTGCAGCTCCAGTCGGGGAGCAGATCAGCGTCCGATCGCTGCATGGCGATTGGGGCCTGGCCCTGGCTATCATCGGCGCCTGACATCAAATTGAAACAAGTCACAGAAAAATACGGAGTACACGAGCTGCAAAATACACAGTCACCACAACTTCCTGACAGCAAAGCTGATCTGACTGGTTTCTTCTCGCTATCCTTGGCGGATCCCAGTCTCTGCAACTTGCAGCTCTGCTTATTCGGGGCCAATTTTATTATTGCCATGGATGTCCTGCTCAATCATCTGCCGAAAGGTACTGCTTGGGATTCTTCTTGACGTTTCTTTCATTACTATCTCTGTGTTGTCCTGATTTGCCGCCGCGGGGAAACATTGCCATCGTCGACACAAGGGAAATTCTGGCCATTCGAGCCTCTCCTTCTCATTTACCTGGACCTAAGGTAGGCTCCACCACACCTTTTGTGACCAAATAATTCTGTGTGAAAGGTAAGTCGGATATCATGTCCTAGAAATTGCCTCGCAAAGCACATGTTTCTCTCAGCCATCACTTCATTTCCTCGCTGCAGTTGAGCACCACTGATGCCCATTTAATAGTAATTTCAGAGCTTGCTTGCTTTACTCCACATACACAATGTTCAGATCCACCATCGTCCGTCAAGCTGCTAAAGCACTTTCTCGGTCACCACGGCCCGCTGTGTTGGCAGCTACTGAACAGCGATCTTCAGATACCTTTGTCCGCTCGCTCTCATCGACAGCTCTCCGTCTGAACAAAGACGATGATATCAAGAAAGACCCCTTCCTAACAGCGACCAACAAAGCTCCTGAGGGCACATTGGGAGAGACAGAGGGTCGTTTTGCGCGTACGGACGAGAATGTCAAGTTTGAATACCCTGATGACGAGAATATGCCTCGGTCTCCAATCGTTCAGGGCCGTGGTGGTATGCATTTCAAGCGTACACTGGCTCAGTTTTCGCTCGAGAACAGGGTTACTCTTGTGACTGGTGGTGCTCGTGGCCTGGGATTGACCATGTCCCAGGCAATTGTAGCTTCAGGATCGGATCTGGCTATTGTTGACTTGAATAGTACGTGCTAAGCATACCAGAACAATCACTTGGAATCACTGACACTACTCTAGGAGAGGAAGCGCAGGACCAGGCCGCAAAGCTCGTGGAGCAATTTCAGAAGGAGAACCCGGGTCTTGAATCTGATCGGTATGTTGATTTAATTCAAGCAGAAAAACTAAGACGCTGATAGCTCTTCAAGATTACCCACCGTCACCGCTCACTACGCCGATGTGTCCAACCCCGAATCTGTGAACAATGCCATTGCAGAAGTCATTGAGAAGCACGGGAAGATTGATCACCTTGTTACCTCTGCTGGGTTTACTGAGAACTTTGACGCCATCTCGTATCCTTACGATCGAATGCAGAAGTTGTGGGGTGTTAATGTAGATGGGACCTATTTGTTCGCTACCGGAGTCGCCAAGCACCTCATGGAGCGCAAGGCACCGGGCAGCATCGTCATGATAGGTAGCATGTCTGGTGCTATTGTTAACGTTCCCCAGCCTCAGGCCCCCTACAATGCAGCAAAAGCCGCTGTCCGTCACCTTGCTTCTTCTTTCGCCGTTGAGTGGGCCCAGCATGGCATTCGCGTTAACTGTATAAGTCCCGGATATATGCTCACTGCACTGTGAGTATCCGCGTGGGTTATTTTCCTGAAAGATGCTAATGTTTTATAGCACTCGGAAAATCCTCGAGGAGAATCCTGAGCTCCGCGATAAGTGGATATCTCTAATTCCTACCGGCAAGATGGGTACTCCAGAGGACTTGATGGGTGCTGTTACTTTCCTTCTGAGTGATGCTTCCCGCTACGTTACGGGAGCTGATCTCCGTGTTGATGGTGGCTACACTCTAACTTGAAACAACGATTTTCTATTGGGATAATGTGTACTGTACGAACAACGATGGGCACGATACAAGATTACCTAGCAACTTCACTTGTTCATATAGATGAGATCGTAAGCTATATGGCGAGGCCCGCAATATTTTCTTCTACTTGTTATTTAGGCCCAGGATACTTTGTTTCATTTGTTCTGGGTCAGGTCGTATTATTAATGGGCGAAGATGGCTCGCACTCAAGCGCTCTTCAGTGATGGAGCATGCTATAAGGAAAGCAGATCAGACATATGAATGTTGCTATGAAGCTCACATTCATTTTGACAATGCTGTATGCAATATAGTGTCACTTTATCTAGACCGATAGCTGCTTGTGTCGTAGTCACACACGACGGCCGGGAAATCATTTGCACTTTTTCCTTGACTGGAGGAGACGCGGTATAACCAAAAATTTTCTTCAAATTTGGTGAATATAGCGCAATACTTACCGTCAATATCAAAGTACGGCACTCCGATTCCGCCAGGATGTGGAGTATATACAAATCAATGCTGTAATGTGCATCCAACCGCTTATATTACTTCAAATCTCTGTTCAAACAACCAGAGCCCAATTATCCTCCTCTGCCGCAAGCATACCAATATACCATAAAGCCAGAAGTACAGACAATTGTCCTTCGCCTCCCACCGTCCATGGGATCGCCGTGGAGACAGCCAGGCAGCCGTTTCTGTCCAATCGCTTAACAGCGATAAGTTCCGTATTTGTTAGGATAAACCCATGCCTGGCGGTATGCTGATCCATATAGAAATTAACCTGAGACAAAGCCTGCTTGTACTCTCGGTGGAGCATTGGGTCTTGGGAGCTTCGCCAGGGAGACTGCCATTTCCAAGATACCTTTAAATCACCCGGTGCGCGATTAGCGCTTGAGGTTCCGCTTCCGACTACAACGTATGCAGTATCTGGTCGGAACTGATCGATGATAGCAGCCGCGCTTCCTCCATCGAAGGTAACTGGTGAAAGTCGGCGGGCCGGTAGCTCTGGTGCGAGTTGCTCGAACCCAGCACGCAGTGCACGTCTAATACGAGGCAAAACCAACTCGGCGAATCGGGCATGGAAGTGAGGTTCATCTCTAATAAAAGCAGGAGGAGATAAGAACGGGTCACGGCGGATTTGCCTCGAAATTAATATATGGCCATAGTGTTGAATGATTGTGGAGTAATTGAAGTCTGTCCAAGACAGAACTTGGGTGATATCTTCGGCACCATATCGGGGGTTAGAGGTGTTACGAGATGGTGCAGTACCTCCAATTGGTATTGCTGGAAGAGCAACAGAAAGGTACTGCAGCAAAGTTTGGCTCATTTTGCAGGTGAAAGCACTGGGACGATACAAGAGCTCGGCATGAGGGTTCCACGGTTGGGGATCCACACAAGTGCGGGGCGCGATTCAACAAAGTACGGAGTGATAGTTCATCGGCGATTAGTAGATCCGAATCCTTTCGACCAGCATCAGGTGACTATCGTTAATCACATGATTTGATAAGTAATACCCCTGCGTGACCTACATGAGTATACCGCCCCTTGAATGAAACCTCGCAGTTCAAGGAATACATACAACCAACATGCGATTAGTGAACAATTGTCGATTGAACCCTGAGAACTCAAACATACAATTCATAAGAGAGATTTCAAGCTCTCCAGCTTCCTCAATTTTTGAGATAACACTTGACGATGTGACATACGCTCTGAAACTTGTAAGTAGAAATTGCTTCTTCCACCTTAACGTCACTAATAGCTCAGTATCACGATAATGGGGATCCCGGGTTCACGGAACGGGGGCGAGACTTGAATAGATATCGCTGTGAACTAAAAGCCTACATGAACCTGCTCCGTCATGGCGTGTGTGATCGCGGATTTGTTCCATATTTCTATGGTTATATCGATCGGCTTGATCCATCTACATTTCAGCCAGCCCTACGGCATTTCACTCATGATAAATTGCATCCTAGTGCAATTCTCCTCGAATATCTTCCAGCAGCTGAAAGCCTGAACTGTGTTAATTATTCAAAGGCCCTTTATAACACAGCAATTGAAGGCATGAAAGAAATACACAATGCCCATGTTCACCACAGGGATATATACCCTAAGAATATTCTTCTATCAGAGGAAGGAAGCAAAAAGAGGCTGGTATGGGTTGATTTTGACGTTTCAACGACATTCAACAGTACGGGGCCTGAGGAAGAAAAGTACAGTAAATACGAAGATGAGCTTGTTGCCAGCTTCGGAAAAGCCTTGGTTTGTGCCATCCAAAACATCCCTAAGCCCTCAGGTCCTAACGTCCTTCCTAGCAAGAGGACCAACAACAAGGTCTTCTCCCGAATACAAAATTTTATTGAACATGGTTTCGGGAACCCCCAAACTCCGATCCTTAGCACTTTCCCCCTTAAGTGGATCTGCTTTGCTGGTATTCACCATAGAAACAACAGCTCCTATGCTAGAAGCTCCCTTGTTACATTTCAGAGCCCTCTTGGTACCGTTCGACGCTGGTTGTCATCCTTCTATATTCGGTCATTTTGAAATTACACGCGTGTCAGGTTGTTCAAGTATCAATTACAGCACCCCAGCAACCTTGAACAAACATGGGACGGTAAGGGGGCCGGCTACGCGTGTGCAAAGGCGTGTAAAAGCGCGATAGCCAGCAGATGAGACAAACCCCCACATAAGGCAATACATTATTTGCAACCAGAACGGTGTCTCGTTATTATTGCGACGATGATGGAATCTGATAGAAATGGACTTACCGTGGGGATTCAAACTGGCTCTCTCGAGGCAAGATTTTGGGAGTGGCTTTGCAGGTAATAACCCAAGAAACCGAGGTTGAGGATCAGCGTGCTTGGTCGAAAGCACCACCTCCAGGGAAAGGCTCAGTTTTATAGATCGCATGTTCCTGGAGAAAGAGGCCTTGTGGTTTAGGTAAGTCGGGTCCTCATTGATTGATATACGGTGGACCTTTATTATGGTTTATTAAGGCGCCAAGTAAGGTCATAATTATCAAACAGTGGTATTTCAGGTCGTGGAAGTGGATTATGGGGCGTGGTTCAATGATATCTAATGCTTTTCGTCCATACATACTAAATCAAAAGGACAACTACACCTCCATGCTAGAAAGAACCGTTTCTGTTATGTTTGTAAATGATAGGCAGGCGGTGTCTAGTTACGCTGCCTATTCAATAGAACGCATCATACATAGTAGCCAAGTCAATGTCATATTTGTCTTTTGTTGTTTACTCATCTATCGTATGTCATACCCAAAAGGCAAAGACGCGCAACAAGCATTTTATCAAAACAACCAATCTGTCCCTCCAGCCACCCAGCCACAGCCTGATTATGACTCGCAGATTCGTCGAGCCATCTGCTCGAACAGTACCCTCCTCCATGTTGCGAAGAAGATCCTCCACATATGACCCCGCGTCGCTAATCTCTATTACACGCGCGATTGCACGATGAATAGCGAGCAACTGAAGAGATGGCAGGTCGAGAGTACTACTATAGTCGGAGTCGAAGGTCAGGGTGCGGACGACCGGAAACAAAGTATCATCATGTAGAGAGGACGAAGTCGGCGCTGTTGACTGGATCGTATACTCATTAGGGACACCAGTAGATTCGAAATATATTTGAAAAGCGTTGAATAGCCGACGGTAATGATGCGTCATTGTTAGAGCGTTGACAAGGGTATTGAACTGCCCGTCTTCGATGAACTGGGTCATTTCAGGATCTAATATATCCAAAAGCTGGAGAGTAGCATTCTGCGAGTTGCTCTGCAAGACCTCGTCAATATGTAGTACGGGTAAGCATAGATTAGCTTTACCAGTTCCGTGTTATCAGCGGTGATGGTCGCCAGAGATCCGGGGAGTATGTGGGCGATTTCCAAGGGCTCAAACTGGTCCGTAGGTTCAGTGCGGAGAAGGGTTTCGTCGTTATCCATGTTATCCTCATTGTCTTGTGGTTCGGCCTCAGCAGTTCTGGGAGAAACCACACACTGCTGATTGTCACGTAACAGGCAGCTTGCTCCCACAGCATATAGTTGTCGCATCAAGCTCTCTGTTGTAGAGGATTGCGAAGAAGGTTGAGCTGGATGTGTGGCCTGTGGCATGTCGAGCGATAAAACCCTGACTGTTGATATCGCCTGAATCAGTGCTTGAACTTGAACAATGATATCAAATCCCGGATAGTGAAGAACGAACGTGGGAGAAGCAAGTGTTGAATGATATGCTCCGCAAAGTCCTCGATGGCGTTCTTGGCGATGTCCAGCCTGTCTTGGCTCCATGATTCGATGTCGTTGAAGTAGCGCAAATAGACTGTGATATCGGAGGTGTATGTTCCAGCTGTCTGGGAGCACAGAAGATGGCATATGAATGAGAAGAAAGGCATCAAGAACGAGTCTTTACATAAAGAGTAGTCATAGAAAGCCAGAGCAAGAGAAGCAGGTTTGTACCCGTACTCTGAAGTCTGCCCCGGGCCGTAGAGCTGGATGAGCGCAAGGAATGTGGTAAGCGCTGACTGACGTTGGTCAGCCAGTAACCTAGGTTGCTGTGACATGTCTGACGCAGATCCAGGTGGTGTGAGATGGTGCATATAGTATAACAGTATATTCCTCGCTGTTCGTTTGCGATACCCTGGAGGGGATGGTGGCACAGGTTTGAGATTGGACAGTCCTGTTGCTCTAGGCACGTGGACCAATGCGAGTCATTTCAGGCCAACGAAGGTTGAATAACATTCAAGTGATTTTGCTAGTGATTCTAGATAGATATGAGAGTATTCTGGGTTATTTTGAGTGTAACAGGAGTGAGTTGCAACCTGGAGTGTGGCCTGAACACACAATGTGTGTTTTATGACGTTTTGAGAGATTTTAACCCCTCTTTCAGCTGGTGGTCGTTAATGTTGTTCTTTTTTCGCGTTGCGGGTGTGAAAACATAAGTATATACTTAATTTTCTAGGACGGTCGATGGCCTACTCTTTCCGATTTAGTGCTCACCCTTCACTGCTTTTTGCCTACTGAGTAGATCTGAGCATGCCCTGAGCAGCCTGAGGCGATCACTGAATATAAAATAAGTAGGAGACTGAGTGCCCTGAGCAAGTAATCTTAACTAACTATACCCTAACTAATAATCACTCCCTTGCCTGCTTCTCTACTCACAGTCTACTTTTTGATGCCATACTTTCCTAAAGCCCAACACTACCACCAGATCTCTTTCTCCAGTAAAGTAATAAAAATTGTAAAATTTTTTAAGAACACGATGCTGGAAGAGTTTTCTGTTTCTTGAACATTAGGGCGGGTAGCTGTCTAGCAGCAGAACAAATCATTCTTCTGCAAAATTGTTACCACGGGCACTAACAATTGTATGATGAGTGTCCAGCCTGAGCTACAGTACTGGTTGCAGCCATTATCGGTCAGACCTTCTCTCAAGAAAACCAATAATTCTCCTCATCCAGCATTTAAACACCCCAAAAATACACACCCCCAGCCGCCGCCAACATCACCACCCCCAGAACAACCGCCAACTCATCCAGCGACCTCATCCACACATTAAGCACACAGCCCACCAGCCCCGCGACCCCCCACGATACCAGCACCCGACCATACACGTGAGCAAAAGGCAGGGGAGGACGAGAGCGACCACAAAGATCTTTGATCACGCCCGGCAGGAGACTGAAGCCGGCGCCGTGGGCGAACAAAGTGAGCAGGAAGGTGGCGGTCGTGGTAATCGAGTCAGGGTTCCAGAGGAGCAACAACAGACCACGCAGGACGAAGAGACTGAGTAAGACGATACGGGGGCCACCGAGGACCGGGGAAAGGACACCGCCGGTAGCTAGGGCAGTCATTCCGATTGCAAGCTTGGGCTCGATTTCGATCTTGATCTCGGGACTCGGGGACAGGCTGGCGGAGGCGAGTGGGAGAAGACTGACGAAGAGAGTCATTCCGGGGAGGGCGTTAAGGAAGAGGAGGATGGAGTAGTAGGTGGCCTCTTTGGGGAAACGCTTGGTAATAATAGAGGAAATCGTAGTAGGAGCATTGCTAGGGGAAGGGGCAATAGCTAAGAAAGTCATTTCTCCCACAAGCACACCCACTACACCACCGAGCATCAGCATCCACCCCAGGGACTGGCAATCCTGCTTCTCGAACTGGGCATACGAGCGGAGGAGAAGCGTTGCAGCCACGCCGGAGGAAAACCCCAGGGGCCCGATGGCGCTGCGAGCCAGACGTGATTGCGGAAGGGCCTGGCTGACCATAATCACCACGGCCAGGTAGGTCCAACCGACGCCGATGCCCCCGAGGAAAAAAGCTGCGATGATGCCTGCGAAGCTCGCGTACTGGAGACTGAGGCCGGTCATGAGCACGGCGGCGCCCCAGAGCATGGCGCCGCGGCCTGCTACCCTGGGGGCGCTGTGGCGGTCGATGAGGGCTGCGGCTTGCGAAAGTCCGACAGACAGCCCGACACAGGCGCTCCCAAAGGGCGCCATGGCCCAGTCAGGGGAGATACCTAATAGTCGTGGAAGCTCGGCTTGTAGGGCACTGGCGGCGTAGAAGGTGCCCACGGTGAACATGTTCGCGTAGCTGAAGGTGGCGGTTAGCCATGGCGATGGGGTTGATGTAGCTGGGGTAGTCATTGTGTCTTGGATAATAATCCCCTCTTTTTCCCGTTCGATGTGGAAGAATTATAGTTGGTGAGGATTAGGAGAAGATGAAATGATGGTTCCGAAGTAGTGAACGAAGGAAGGGAAGAAAATGGTCCCAGTATAGGGCGGGATTGCCTCCCGCCCCAACCCACTTGACATTTATTTGGAGACACTCGGCACCTCCCAGCGCGCTATTTTTGATACGAATTAAGTCCTAAGCTAGTATAGACCTACTCCACAAATTGTACCGGCTCTCTGCGCGAGCGATTAACCCGCAAATCAAAGACATCCAACCGCTGATACCCACCCACGACATCATGATACTGCTTCCCCTCAACAGTCCTCCGCAAATCCAGATTCGCGTACAGAATACCCTCCTCGAGCTGCAGAAACTCCTGACTTTGCTTCGCTCCCGTCTCCTGATCAACCGTCCAGCCCGGCACCGGCGCGCCCGTAGGATCCAAGAACATAGTGACTCCACGCGGTGACGCCTCCAAGGCACGACGCAAGCGATCCGGCTCGCGCGCCCCATCCAGCAGAGTCTCAATAGCCATCTGATCCAAGACAGCACTGCACATGACACCGAAGCACTTGGCCTCGAAACAGTGCGCCGCAGCGCGTAGCCGGTTCGCGAGCACGTTGTCGTAGTTCCGATCTTTCTCATCATCGTCATCATCATCATCCCCAGCTAGCACGCGCGTCGGCCACACACACGGCCAACTCGAGATATGAATCTGCTGGCGCTGACACATCAGCGCATACCGGGCCAACGGATTGGTATTCTCGCCGCAGATGAGCGCGCCGATGCGCCCGGCTGAGGTGTCCGCGACGCGCAGACCGTGCCCGTCGCCGGGACTCCAGGTGAGTTTCTCGAAGAAGGTGGGCACGAGCTTGCGGTGGTGGACGAGGATGTCGCCGTTGGTGTCGATGATGAGGTTGGTGTTGTAGAGGCAGGCTGTACTGGCGGGCGCGCGCTCCGAGATGCCGATGCTCACGACGGTTTGGGTCTCGCGTGCTGCGGCACACAGTGCGGCTACTTCTTCGCCTGTTTGGCCGTCAATATCCTTCACGGTGATGGAGGCGGCGACCATGCGCTCGAAGAAGGCATGGTTGTCTGTTGGGGCGCGTAGGGCGCTCCAGAGGGGGAAGCCGGCGATGTAGGATTCCGGGAAGACGACCAGTTGTGCGCCTTGGCTGGCGGCTTCGTGGATCAGCGAGATGGCTTTTTGGGTGGTTTCCTTGGCTGAAAGAAAGTGGGGTGCGACGTGGCAGGCTGATACGCAGGCGATGGGATGCTGTTGCTGATCTGGTGCTTCCATTGTGCTTGCTATAGTTGGAGGGATGGGGGATAGTTGTGTAGGATAAGGGATATGGAAGATTGTAAGATAATAGGAATCTCGCAGTTGAAAAGAACAGAGGTTCTATGCGGAGGTCTTGCACACCTTTTATAAGTTCAAAAAGTATCTACTGCATGAGCAGGGTACTAAACTAGTAACTAGTATGCCGGTCTTCCGATGTTCGGCCAGACGGCAAATCCGCCCACTGAGGATATTGAAGCTGATAAGCCGCGCCCCAATCACAAAACTCAATCCCATCAGAGTTCCCAGTATACTCCAATTCCGGGTCGTACAAAATTACGCTTTCTCACAGCACACCTTCTCATCCTTCTCATCCTTCTTCATATCCGACTCCGGGTCCACCGCGACTACTACAGTGCGATCGAACACGGCCGCCATTTCCTCGAGCGTACGGCCCCGTGTCTCCGGGTAGAAGAAGTACAAGACAAGCCCGTAGATCACGAGCAACACCACGTACAGAATGTAGTATTTCCACCCAATCGCGTCCAGAGCGATAGGATTGACGAACGTGTTGAAGATGACGGCCACGATGCAGGACATCCATGTCACCGACAGGCCACGGGAACGTAGGCGGAAGGGCCAAATCTCGCAGGGGTAAGAGGTCAACAGGGGGGTTCTAGCATAGAGACACATGATGGTCAGTTTGATGAGATAATTTATTCGTTTTCTGTTTTCTTCTTTCCCAGGTTCAAGGGAAAGAGGTGGAACATACAGAGCAATATCATATCCAGCAAAGTAGATAAACACAAATGGAATAAAGGCCATGCCTGTCTTTGCATTTCCCGTCGTGGCAAATGCTCCCGACAGCCCAGTCATCAAAATATAGCTGACCAGCATAATGCCAGCAGAGGTGAGGAACAGCGGACGCCGGCCCAGACGGTTCACGGAAACGGCGCCGCCGACTGCGAAGATTAGATTCCAGATCTGCAAGCAGGCGGATATCAGGAGCTGGTCTCCGGTGTTGGTGACCCCCAAGGTGCCGAGAATGAGGGTGAAGTAATATGAAAGTGGCCCGTTGCCCACCCACTGATCGAAGAAGCCCAGGCTGAGGGAGATGAACAGCCGGTGGCGGTTGCTGGGGGTGCGCAGCATCACTGCGTAGCCCGCTGAGCTTTCCTCCTCCTCTTCGGCCATCAGGCTGGCCTGAATGTGCTCAACGGTTGCATCCACCCACTCTAAGCCCTCGGCTCCATCTGCATAGATTTTAGTTACAGTTTGGCGCGCTTCGTCGACCCGGCCTTGCGCGATCATCCACCGTGGACTCTCAGGGATGACGAGAAGGCCTGGGAGGGCTATGCAGGGCATCAGCAGCTGGCAGAGCGATGGGATGCGCCACGCCCAGTTGGAATCGCCTAGGGTGCGGGTCCCATAGACGATCCAGGCCGCTGCAATGCTACCAAAGTAGTAACTTGTCATGTAGAGGGCGGTGGCGATGCCCTGGTGACGAGGATAAGCCACCTCGGCAATCAGGGCGGGCCCTGCGTTGTTCATGAACCCCATACTCGCCCCGGCCAGGACTCGGCCAACCATGAACAGGGCACGCGAGGGTGCGGCGGTCTGCAACGCCGTACCTGTGGCTAAGAAGGCCATACCTGCCCAGATGACGGTCTTGCGGCCAAACCGATTGGAAAACCACGCGGCAGGGGCAGCGGTGGAAGCAGCTCCAATCCAGTAGAGGGTGTTGATGAACCCCAGCCACGTGCCTCCGGGAGTGCCCATGAAAGACATCCATACTGGGAGTGATTGAAGACCATTGAGGAGGGAGCTGTCATATCCATTGGTCGATGAGAGGAAGGTCAGGGAGATCAAACAGAGATTGAGGCGAATCAAGCAAGGTGTAGCCCACCACCCACGATCAGGAACGGTTGCCATATTGGAAGGTAAATACTACCAGTAGTAGATTTGGAACTAGTTAAGATGCCACATTGAGTCTATGGGAGTGCCCAGAAGCACATTTTATACACACATCGGATGGGCGAATGCCAACCAAGAGATATCTGGGGGTGGGGGTAACTAACAAAATTCCGGGGTCAACAAACCTGTCTGAACCCGAGAAGTGGACCTTATCTTCTTGCGGTCTTATCAGGCTTATCAGAAGATACGATATCTTCTGAATGACCCAGTAATTGACCCAAAAGCCGACAATCTTTCTTCCTTTCTATTTGCCGGGGCGGGAATGCCGCCGCCAACTCCCGCCCAAACCCACCCGTGGCGGGACTGGCGGGAATCATGGCAATTCTATGGGGCATGGACGAATATATCAGTCGTAGTAGTTATAACTTTCCATACCCCGTAGGCAAGCAAAACCCAATCAGTACCACGAGCCAACTATCCTGTCTTATCTTGTTCCAAAAGCCTTATCACGAAGACCAGAGACATGAGTAACAACATGCCTCCAGCAGCAGACCCCATACAGGCAATCCTCAGCCAACTCACCCTAACAGAGAAATGCCAGCTCCTATCCGGCAAGAACATGTGGGAAACCCGCGACATCCCCCGGCTAGGGATTCCATCCCTGAAAACTACCGACGGGCCTGCAGGCGTCCGAGGCGCCAAATGGACCGACGGGTCACATACGACCTTCATCCCCTGCGGAATCTCCCTAGCAGCCACCTTCGACAAGGACCTTGTGCAGCGCGTAGGCAGCCTGCTGGGGTCAGAAACCCGCAGCAAGCAGGCGCACATCCTGCTCGCCCCGACAATGAACCTGAGCCGATCCCCACTGGGCGGACGGAACTTTGAGAACTTTGGCGAGGAGCCCTTCCTGACTGGGGTGATGGCCACGCATTATATCCGGGGAATCCAGAGCCAGGGCGTCGGCGCCTGTATGAAGCACTTTGTGGCCAACGACCAGGAGACCCGTCGCTTCAACATGAATGAGACGATCGACGAACGCACTCTGCACGAGATCTACCTCAAGCCTTTCCACATGGTCACGCGTGATGCCGATCCCTGGGCTGCGATGACCAGTTACCCTAAGATCAACGGGGAGCATGCTGATACTAGTCGCAGGCTGGTCTATGAGATCCTCCGTCGTGACTGGGGTTATGAGGGGCTCGTAATGAGCGACTGGGGTGGCCTGAACTCTACCTTAGGGAGTATCCGCGCCACGACTGACCTGGAAATGCCTGGTCCGCCGCTGCGGTATGGGCCAGCGCTTGAGGAGGCGGTGCGCTCAGAGGAAATCTCCGAAACAGAGAACATCGATCCCGCAGTATATCGCATGCTCAGAACCCTCAATCGCGCAGGTCTGCTGCCCACAGCAGCCGATAACCGCGGGGCTGTCGCTGCAACTACGGCAGAGGAAGATGAGAATGTGCAGACCCGGGAGACCACATCGAACACGCCCGAGTTTCAAGCAATCGCCTGCGAGGCAGCGGCCGCCGGAATCGTTCTTCTGAAGAACCGCGATAACATTCTCCCTCTGGACCTCAATCTTACCAAACGCATTGCCATCATCGGGCCCAACGCACGCAATCCCACCGCAGGCGGGACGGGAAGTGCCATCGTTAACCCATACTACATCACCAACCCCCTCGACTCCATCTCCTCAGCAGCACGCGACCTGAATCCCGAGATCGAGATCGAGTATCATCAAGGAATCCAAACGCACTGGCACTTGCCCCTCATGGGCGATATTCTCCGCACACCTGACGGGCGCACCACGGGGCTGGACGTGCACTTCTACCGCGGCCACGAGTTCCAGGGAGAGGTAGTCGCAACAACGCACTGGCAGAACTCACTGGTATACCTGATGAGCGACGGAGACATTCCACGCGAGCTTATCGGCCAGCCCTACTGTTTCCGGGCCCTGGGGCAATTCACTCCGCAAGTGACAGGCCGATATGACTTCAGCCTGTCCAACACAGGCCAGGCGACGTTGTACATAGACGGGGAGCTTTTCATCGACCACCGCGAGTGGAGCCAAATCTGTGCCAACTTCATGAACTGCAGCAGCCCGGACAAGCCTGGCGTCATGGACCTACAAGCCGGCGTGACCTACCAGATCCGCATTGATCACGTCTGTGTACCGCCGCCTACCCCACCTCACGACAACACCCTCTTCCACCGCATCGCGGGCGTCAAAGTCGGCATGCTGATACAAACAAACGAGGAGGCAATGCTGGAAGCCGCGGTGCAGGCCGCACAGGACGCCGACATGGCTATCATCATTGCCGGCCACAACAACGATACGGAGCGTGAGGGGTGTGACCGCACGACGCTGGCGCTCCCGCGTCGCTCGGATGAGTTCATTGCCCGTGTCTGCGCTGTAAATCCGTCCACCATCGTCGCTATCCAATCCGCCTGCGCTGTCAGCATGCCCTGGGCGGGAGCTGCCGGTGCTATTGTACAGGCCTGGTACCAGGGCCAGGAGAACGGCAACGCACTCGCTGATATTCTTCTCGGGAAGGTTAACCCGTCCGGCAAGCTGCCCGTTACCTTCCCGCACCGTCTTGAGGATCATGGCTCGCACCCTTGGTTCCCGGGTAACCCGGTGACGGATCAAGCTACGTATGGCGAAGGGGTCTTTGTCGGCTACCGCTGGGCGGATGCCCAGCATATCGAGCCCCTCTGGCCGTTTGGCTTCGGTCTGTCGTATACTTCCTTCCAGATCAGCGATGTTCGCGTGGAGGGGGCAATTGGTGTGACTGATCAGACGGAACAGGCTACTGTGCATGCCACGGTTACTAACACGGGCCCAGTCGCTGGGAAGGAAGTCCTACAACTGTACATCTCGTCTTCCTCGTGCATTCCAGCAGTGCAGAGGGTGGTCAAGTCCCTTGTCGGGTTCGAGAAGGTCGCGCTAGCTCCGGGAGAGTCTCAGACGGTGCGGTTGAGCGTGGGGATGGAAGCGGTGGCGTGGTACAGTATCCAGGAGGATGGTGGGGAGAAGATGGGCCACTGGCGAGCGGATTGCGGAACATACGAGTGTTATGTTGGCACTAGCTCGCGGGACATTGCAGCGATTGTGACTTTGACAGTCCAGTAACTTGTGTGTAGTATAAGCCAATTCGAGGCAAATGGATTGTTCAGAGATCAAAAGCGGTTATCATTCGTCGCTTGTCGCGAATGGTCTTTGCAACATGTAACATGATTCCTCGGCTGCTACCATCACTGGCCCAGCGTTCCAATATTGTGATGGCCAAATCATCTAAATGGTCAATGTCCGTCACCTCCTCTTTGAGAAAGGGGGATAGTGATGCAACGGCCAGATTGATCAGTGCTGCGAGGGTCCTGGAGAAAAAGCCGGAGGCGCTCAAGGGTCAGCTCAATTCCCAAAATGGACAAGGATCTCGTAAATTATAAGATAGGAGAACTGACGAGTGTAGATTGATCATGGTGTTCGGGGACGGCGTCTGGGTAAGGCAGGCAACATGTTTCAAGACTTCCCGAGAATAGCGTATGCACTTGATGGCCGCGTCGACGAGGAACCTGTCCGGAACCCGATCGCACGGCATAGAACAGACCTTGTAGATAAAAGGTCGGTAGATAATGTCTCCACAAGCAAAGTATCGCAATGACAATGTCTCCTTGATCGGGTCCAACTCGGACTCATCGAACTGGGGTTTAATGGCCGGAGGGAGGAGATCCCACCAAAGATGGAGCTGGTGATCCAGCTCTTTCGAGCTCGCAATCAGGAGGGAAGCTTTGTCGGAGTCGAGCAGGTTATTTAATGCTGGGAGTCTGCTACCAGGATCTGCGTCGCCCCCATTGTAAGTCGAAATGTCGTACATGGTAAAATGGACCCGGTTCATGAGGCGCCGCGCGGAGAGGTTGGCGAGCCACGCCAAACTGTCGAATTCCGGGGTCTCGTGGCAACCGGGATACGGCAGCCGTTCAACCACATTTTCTATTCCGCTACGTGGAAGGTGGTATTCGGCCAGTATATCACTGATCTGGTTGAGCCACGCCGATCACCAGATTTTCGGAGGATGAAGTAGGACTCACCATTCTGTAAGGAAAATTGCCCAGCATAACCGGACCAGATCCGGATCCAGGGCGGGATTGGTTTTGCGATTGCTTGAACTAAGACTCGTTCCATATTAATGCTATACCTCTTCTCTGTTGGAATCTCAACTCACGCTAGAAATGCATGTTGGATGTTGGTCGATGCCAAGTGAATCATACGCCATGCTTCCAGGGGTTTGCATGCGTAGTTGAACCACGAGGCCGCGAGGAACAGTGCCTGGCAAAGATAAAGATCTGTTGAGCACTTGTTGAGCCATGTGCTGGTCAACCAATGCACCGCTTCCTGCACATAGCTCGCGCCTGCTAGATGACCATCCTTTATCTGTTGCGCTGAGGCAACTGATATCTCTGCCAGGGCGACCACCAGCATCACTAACACCAGGTTTGTAGTAAGCACATTGACCTCTCTGTTGATCGTCGGTAGATTATCTCTCCACTTCTCTGCATTTAGAATCGGGTGTCGCGGATGGACCTTGGTAAAGTAAATCTGGACTGCGTGAGGAATGGAAGATTCCGAAGGGAGCGACAGTTCCCCGCAGGCTGCAGACGAAGTCTGAGATAGAGATTGACGTTTCTGCTCTGACTTCAGAAACACATCCGCGGGCCACTCCCCCGCCAGAACCTGAGCATTCGAGGTGAGCAGAAGACTGTCCGATGTGGTCATATGCCGGATCGGAATCGACATCGGAATGATTTCATCCGAGTAATTCAAGGCCAGCCTCCCATTTCGCGCGGTCTGTGTACCTTCCACTTGGACTCTCGTCCCACATGATAGGGGAGATGGATCAGGAAATGAATTTGCACTATGTTGTTTGGCTTGATCGATTTCCATGCGCAAGGCCTGAATGGCTACAGTATGGGCCTCGACCACCTCCTCCAGCTGGGCGATGGAACTCAGAAGCGACTGCTCGTAAGGGATCTCACTGTCAGGAGCAGTGCTTGTCACGTCTGGATGATTTGGTAAGCAGGCGCTATAGCGGCACTCTGGCCGGTTCGTTTGCTGGCAGAGCGAGCAGATGGGCTGCTTGCCATCGCAACGGCGTTTCCTGCATCACTTCCATGTCAGTCCTCTGGATTATCCCAAAGGTGGAGAATTGATACCGTCGTCGGCAATAATCACACGCGATAGCGGCTCGCTTCCGCCTGTGCCCTTCTAATTCGGAGTGAGTCATTTCGAACGTGAGATAGATGCAGGAATGGAAGGGTACAATGTGGATGTGCAGGCGGAATTGGCGGGCCGCCGCTTGTCTGCCTGCCACGTGATGCTCTTGGATAACATTAAAGGTATAGTTTGTTAACTAATAAAGCGTATAGTCATGATTTTCAAATGATGCTTATCGCGTAACTATTTACTGGACGAGTAATATTTCTTTCTGCGGAGATGTGGGGATGACCAAATGCGGTGAACGAGAGCGATGCTAACCAGGTTTGCCCTAGACTCTGATCTGAACCAAGCAGAAGCAAAATAGCAAGGATGATCACCAAGGTAGTGAACCGTAAGAGTAGATTACCTACACTCAGATATTCCCCCCGGGGTCGAGTTCTCTGAACAACTTATAGTCGTCTTTCAACCCCCACAAAGTGTCTCTTATTCGGCTACTTCTTATCCAAGTTTTCTAATTTCTAACCTCGACGGCAGACCATACATGCTAATTGAAATATCACGGTCCATAACTTCTTGGTCCAGGCTTACCACCCGCAGTGTTATCTGCTTGCGGTAATAACCATAGAGCAAATACTTATTATTATTATCTATTTAATCAAGTGGGTGACCCCGCATGCTTTAGAAGTATATTCTAGAAAATTTAATCAGTACTTGATTCATAATCTGTCAGGCCTGTATCTATGTATATAGAATTAATTTATACAAGTAATATTATTTATCAGCTTAAGATAAAGAATTATCTAGCCTGAAAAAGAAATATATAGCTAAAACTACTTGTATAAGTTTATCAGAAATACTAAAGAAAAGAATTACCAGCTTCTTTAACTTATTTATATTATTTAATTATAGAAAATCTTTATCCAGGATATAATTAAGATAAATAAAATTTAATTACAGAGAGAATTAAAAGAAAAACTATTTTTTCTCATAAGGCCCAATGCTATTTATATATAATAATAAATAATATATATACTAGAATTATATAGGATTTTAGCTGGCAGGACTAAGTTAATTCAGTAGACTATTTATATTTAGTAGCCCCTATATTCCCGCCACGGGACGGGGCGTACCATGATGCTTGCGCAAGGCTGCTGGAAGATTACCTTGATCTTCTACGTATGTGTGCCGTGTCACCTTCCAATTGGTCTACAGGAGTAAAGGTCGTCTTTGAAACAGAATATTCAACATAGTGGGAGGGGGGTTTGAGTGGTTCAGATTCCACGTACACACGCTGCTCTCGTTCGCTGCACGGCATCCCGTATCCCTAAGCTCCATTGTAAACCAATCAGCGATGTTTCCAGGTCCCCGAACACTAGTAGAAAGGAGGAATAGAACTTCTGCGGCGAGCTGAGAAGCAGCCCCTTGTAGTCATCCCCAGTCATGTCAAATGGTCGTGGTATTTAGCGCCTTGCTCTTTCCTTTCTGAATTGTATGTGAGTCTTCCCGTTTGCTTCATTTCGGGTATCCTTCAATATAACCCTGGACTCCGCGCGGGGCACCCTTTTCAATGTCAGTAAGACTAAAGCTCAGCTCCTCTTACTAAGTAATCTAGACGAATTAAGAACAAACTATATTCTGATATATACCTGCTTACCATTAATACGACAGTGCAACCATGGCACAAACAATCGTCTATCGCCAGCTGTCCAAAACGCACCGCGAAATTCGCCTCTTGCGTGTTAATGCCAGACCGGGCAGCGATGGTGGGAATGGCCCTCTGGAGTGTTTACTAGAGCATACGTCATTGGATGCAGAAGTACCTAAGCCGTATATTGCGATATCATACTGCTGGGGCACGAGTACGGATAAAGAGATTGTCAAGATTGACGGCAGAGAGGCGAAAGTGCCAAAGAGCGCTGCATCCACTCTGCACAATTTAGCACGAGTTGGAACCAATGAACATGTTTGGATTGATGCAATCTGCATGAACCAGCAGGACGCGGTTGAAAAAGGTCACCAGGTTACCATCATGAAAGATATCTATTCGCATGCGCGCGAAGTGCGGGTTTGGTTGGGTATCTGGATTCGGACGTCACCATCAGCGCCATTGCCTCGGCCCATTGCGTATATGATCATTGCCTAGAGGAGACCAATAACTTAGAGGACTAGATTTGCATGTATATGGCCCCGACCGATCATCGTACAGATACTCAGATGCCCCTTTACCAGAAGATTGCGACTGGAAGGCGCTGCAGGCTTTATACTCGTTCCCCTGGTTCACCCGACTGTGGGTGGTGCAGGAGGTGGCATTGGCCCGAATGGCCACTTGCTACATTGGCCAGCACACCATTGCTGCACAAATTCTTATACAGGCTGCGCATTGGATGGTGCACAGGTGTTACCAAAAGTACTATGATGGTAATTACATTGACGGTATCGAAAACGCTTCCTGCATGCGTCGTCCCATCGGCGTGCACCTCAGCAGACAGATCCGGCGACTGCGAGGGAAGCGTTGCAAAGACCCACGAGATCGAGTCTATAGCGTACTTGGCTTATCGAACCCGCAAGTTGCCGATCGCATAGTACCTGATTATACGATCCCGGCCGTTACGGTATATGCGCATGCGCTCCGGCTTGCGTTCGAGGAGGATGGGGGTCTGCAGATACTGCACTTTCTCGCATGGTGGGTCGAGAAGCCCACCAAAAGAGGAGCTTTAGTACGACTAAGTGAGCATCTTCGAAGGATTTTGTGCCTATCAAGAGGGACTGTAACGTCCCAGAGATAACCCTCGTGGGTCTTGAAGTTGCATGCGGGTACTGATAGTGCTTATGGGTCCTGCCTGAACACTCAGGTATTTGAGAATCCGGACTGGCCATTCCAGACGAGGTCATTGAACGACCCATTGGTGCTGAGTGTTAAAGGATTAATTGTCACCCATGTAGCCTATACCAGTGAAGTGTTGTCCTCAGAAACTCTCTGGAACGGCAAAAGGCTGGCACCTCTCATTCTGCGGTGTGTGAAGCAGACCAACAAGCTGTGTCACAAGCACGGTAATTCGGTAGCCCAAGATGACCTGAAGTTGACATTTATCTGCGGTATAAATGGGCTTTGCCTCGACCTTGACGCTGACGAGACCCTCGCCTCAGAGTACCAGGAGTTTGTTGATTGGTGCAAATCAGCGTCAGCAAGTGGCAGGGAGCAATTTTCTCCAAGATACCTGAATAACATGGGCCGCTCATTGAACCGCCGGTTTTTCACAACAGCCAATGGATTGATTGGAATGGGCGTGCCAAACACTCAGGCTGGTGACTATCTCTGCATTCTTTCTGGAAGCCCTGGATGCTTTGTAATGAGACAGGAAGGCTCTCATTGGAAGATTATTGGAGATGCATATTCTCGCAGGCTTATGAAGGTGAGTCCCGCCTCCCAATATAGGAAGTCTGTACTATTGAAATCTACAGAGGGTCTACGTGGACGAAATCATAAATCGAAACGAGTGGGAGAAACAAAGTCAATGGTTCGACATCTGGTAGCTCGTTAGTACAGAAACAGCAGTCGACACCGTTCTCCTAGAGTTGGGAAGCCCTTCACTTGACCCCGGAGGGTCTCATCATGCTTACGTAGCATGAAAATCCGGTTTGAACATTTTCTTATCTTATATGTAGGCTGCTTGAAGCTGAAGAGAGAAAGACAAATTACTTCATTCAAATAAGAAAACCTAAGAAAAAGCAAGAATAGTGCCCACCAGCGAGGAAGTCATCCACACAGCTGTGAGGACCCCAAGTATTGGGGGGCAGAATCTGAACACAGCTTGTTAGTCGATATGGACAACATTTGACATTGCGCATGCGGGAAATACGTACTGTTCAGAACTCAGCCCGATATATCCACCCCAGAAGAGCAATTGTGCAATCCAAAGAAGAAGCAAGAAAATGGTAGTAGCCGCATACAATTCCGCAAGCCGTGGCCTGTGGGGTAGCGAGATCAGGCGAGGGTTGACGAGGAGAGGGTCATAGCTTGTGCGATTACTTTGATCCCTTATTAATGGTGCTTCTTCCGGGGCCCTTAGCCTTCCGGTCGCGGGATGAAACATCCTTCCCGTTCGTATGTTGTGATATTCTATTATTGGCGGCATCCCTTCTTCGGAAATATCCAGAGACGTGAGAACCAATCCACGAGACTTTTCCATCTTGCGCATCGCACGAATTGATACAGCAAATGCCATGATAACGGTTAATAGCCACATAAGTGCTCCGGCGTACATAACTTTTGCAGGTACCCATATTTTTACAGTGCCGAGGTAGAAGTTGTGTTCATAGCCATAATAAACTGTTATGAGTAAGTAATATGCAGATAGGAACTGAAGGAGTATTTCCGCAAATAATAGAGATGCAGCCGCAGACAGGCTCTTTGGCCCAAATTGTTGTAGACCGAGTAAGGACATCGCCAGCCATGAAAGGCGAGGCATTGAACACCAAAGAAGCAGCAGTTGGATTATAGGAACCTTTTCATAGCCCGGAACTTTCTGGACCAGCACAGAACTGAACAAGTTGGCAAAGATCTGGACAGTGGCAAGGAGAATGCCCTTGAAAGCCCAATAAATCGGCTGAGAGTGTTCTACTGAATTGATGTTTTTGCTTTGAAGCATGCGTTTCCTCTGACAGAGAAGCAATGCGCAGAAAGTAGCTATGTTCACAATAGCAAAGCTTCCAAATTTCCACCGATTGGAGGGGCATGCTTCGGTTGCTTTTATGTCTCCATGCTGAGTAATAGGGGTAATATCTGGTGCCATGAAGGGCTTGAGAGCCCATTGCCATGGAATCATCTCGATCAAGGTGGGCGCAGATAGCTGACGCCAGTCATTTGGTAGACCGTGCCAGTCCTCAATACCACCACAAAGATCGTGAAGCCATCTGATATAGTCTATTCGGGTTTCGAATATTTGGCACGAACCCTCACATGAACCATAGCTGATATGTTGGCAAAAGCATTTCCTGTCAACTGCACGTGTGACTTGGCAGTATCCGCTAGAATCGAGCTTACACGCATCGGCTGCACATTGATCTGTAAGATCAGTAACCTTCTTCGGCATATCCATGACACACTTGGGCCAGCTCCAATCCTCGAGCGCAATAAACGCGAATTGTGTGGTCATAAGTGCATCCACCCAGTTATCGGGTAAGGACTTTGTTCCACAGGTTGCATTGAGCCACAGGCGCTGTTTCGTCCAGTCCAATCGTTCTGAATCCGAACAAGGCTCTTCTTTCAAATCTACAGCGAAGGCGCTGCAGAAGCAACCCTTGTCAAAGTAGTAGCCATCCTTTATGTGCTGCTGGACAAGGTCATAGCCAACTGTCTCTGAATCAAGAGCGATCATGGATCGCACGGGCTCGTTATATTCCCAGGGCCGAGCAGCATTTCCTGTGTGATGACTTGCGCTTGTAAAGCCACAGGAAGCCATTACCTGCTGGAAAGGCTCCCTTGAAAATGAACAGACTGAGCTGGTAAGGCATCCTGGCGCCGCATTGAGAACGTCCACAGTTGAGTACCCCTCGGCTAGTGAGGCAGGGGAAAGGTTCTGGAGCTCATTCGTGTCGCCGACCTCGACAAGCCACTCTCTACCCGTGATGTCACGAATCCATGAATACAATTGCGCTTTGGCGAGTATCGATCTGCCACAGTAGGGGAGATACCTTGCAATAACATCTGGGGAGAATGCAACGCTGAGACAGCCGAGATGAGTCAACCATTGGTGATGGGTGCAAATGAAGCCGAAATGGGAAGTGCACCGTTTGGCAGTACATTTCGTCATAGTATCGAGCCAGGTGGACTGGTCTTGCTGCACTATGCATTGTGGCATGGGCTTGAGATCTTCAGGATTTACCCAGCCATTGAAGTTGTTTTGAGGAGTTAGGAATTGATCATATCCGTCATGATTGAGAGCGGCGGTTGAGAGCGCTTGTGCAGTACGTCCTCATATTAGTGACAAAGATGTGAAAAGATGTTGGGAGCACTTACCTTCAACGTCGGCACTATATACGCTAACAGCCAGCAGCACAAAAAGTGCACAGTATAACCTCATCTTATCGATATTAAGGCGATCTTGTATCTTGACACAGCGCGGGATGGCAACCATCTGGAATTTGAAAGATGCCGCTATGGACTGATACTTCGGAGCGGGGTAACACGAGGCTGCGAGTCGGATCAATATCAGACCGATCAAAGCCAACTCACCGGACAGGGATGCTTTTGTTGGCTGGCGATGCAGGGCGGTTATTCGAAGTTGGGTAAGAGTGAATCATGATTTGTCTAGAGTCAAGTTACAAAGCGCAAAGGGCCGAGTTTTGGCAGCTTCGCGGCTGTCATTCCCCATCTGCTCAAGGGATATAGAGCATCCTCGACTATAGTCTTCCCAGACTATTCTAACGTCAGTATAGACAAGGGGTACAGTTATCGATTAATGTTTTAAATAGAACAAGAGGTATGTCCGTCCCCTCACACCACGAGCAGAAGCGTTCATTACCTTACGCATTATTAGAAGCATTGTGGCTCAAGTCACCCAGTTTGCCCTCCGCTGGAATATATAAGGATAAAGCTGCGCCCTACTATGTCGTAAGCAACTAAATCATCATTTCCCGTAAGCCGATATCATTATTGCAACCAATCTTTTAAATTCACTAGGCTCCTTTTTCACTGGGGTGGGTAGCTTCCTGGTTGCTTTCCAGATTAATATTTCAACAAAGACCTTTCCTTTTTTCCTTTTTTCCTTTTCCTTTTTTTTTGTTTTTTTCCTTCTTTTCCTTTCTTCGTCAATAGCGATCAGTATATAGTCTCTCGCGGACCCATGCAACGGACCAAACTCAAGACCCTATAACCTTGCCTTCGCCAGCAGCGAATCCGGAACATCGCTATGGAAAACACCATCGTAGCTTCGAAGTCACTTGACCAAATAAACTCGGTATTGTCTGAGAGAAGATCGACCTCGTCGGCCACCACGTGAATCTTGCTCAGTCCAAGCTGGGAAACTAGATAGACCGAAAAAGTGTTCTTGATCCTGCAGAACCTTCCTAAACAGGAAGGTTCTGCGCGGGAACGGGCGCTGCCTGCAGAATTTGCAGCTAAGCAAAACTATGCACACAAACACGTGGAGTCGGCAGTGTGGCCTTTAGATAAACTCTTTGCCCGAATGAATCATGCAAGCCTGGCGTATGCGAAAACCCACAATACAAGATCCCCGCTTACAGTACCCAGGCCGCGAGGTATTGCGCTCAGAAAGCGATTCTTGTGCGGAGATATACAAGGGGAAGGCTTCTAGATTGCATATACCAGTCCGTGAAGCACTGACAGCCACAGTGAGATGGTGGGCTGAAAAAATAAGGAACGTATCTGCGCGATGCCAACTGCATGGAAATCATGTGCTTCCCGAATAATTCTTTTGGGGTACCATTTATCACAGAGTCGGCAATGACTACACTGAGGGGCAAGTTGTCCTGCCTTGAGAACGCGGCAAATACTGGTGAGCAATTCATCACTCGCATTATCCTCTTGTGTACTCGAATGGCATGTTATAGAACGCTATGACGTAAAGCTAGCCCAGATATATCAAGGCACTAGAGATCTGCAAGCAGCTATCGAGAGAGCATTGGTAGAGGAAGTACTCTCCCGAACCATTAGGGTCGTGATCGCAGCGGTTCGTGGCGATGGAGCAGCTAGCGTGAAGCTTCAGTCCCTCTCGATCTTCGTCACAGTTGATCGGATAGAGATAACGCTGCCTCAGTGGCTCTTGAATAGCTCAAAGCAAGTATGAGATTTGCCCTGTGATTCTCTTCAATGCCGGGCTACCAGTTGCAGGGTCTCCTGCAAGATACCAAAACGGGTTATGATGAAGCATATCATCGTCGATGGTATGGCAGCGCTACTGCATGATCGGGCCATATGCACCCCTCTACGGCCAAGCGGGAAGTGAATGACCATCTCATCGCTAGCTGGATGTGCTAATATTGCGACTGATAGGCCAGAGTCGAGTCTTGTACGAGACACCTCAAAGGCCGCCCTGAACTACCTCATCTAGCGCCATGGTAGGCTTTTCAGCATTTACATCATACGCCCCCTTTGCTTCAATGGCAGTATAACGAAAAATCAAGATCCCGAACATAGCTCTTGACACCATCCTGCACGCAACGCTGGAGTTAACTTACCATATTCGGTACAAGTGATTGAAAACTCTGACTGGGTATGGCAAACTATGACGAAGATAACTAGGGAGTCTTACAGGCCACTTACCGATACAGACCCGATAGAACGTCCTAGGAAGCGGACGAGCGGAGGCCGCGTACGGAAAACACGCAGTATAGAAAACATGAACGCTTTACACGTAGCCGTGTCTCTTAACAGCACACCATGCAGAGTGGGATGATGAGGAGCCCTTGAGAAGAAGTCAAATCTCATGGCAACGCATGAGCCACTGGTTTCGTTATTTACCTTTCCTCATTGAGTCTATGTGAATTAGCAAGGGTCACTGATTCCATGGAGGATCGGATCGAACATTATCACCCTATGCTCCCCGCTGTCCACGGCAACATCTAAGAGATATATAAAGAAGGTGTACTCGTTGATCTTTGTTTGTTCTTTAAAAATGGGCCTCCCATCTTTCCTACTCATTCTTAAGAGAGAAACATCAAAGTCATCGAAGATTACGCATCTCAGGACGTTACTATTTAGTCAGATTTCGAAGAATTTGTGACCTCCACTTTCCCGTTCGAGACCTGCAGCCCGAGACACGCATAGAAGAGCAATCAATATGGGGGATATCGGAACCCCTCCTCGATGGAAAGACCCCGAAATCCAGCATCAAGTGGATATTGCACTGCTTGAAGTCGACGCTGCCCAAAAAGAAGCAGATGAAGCTCGGAGAAAAATCGTGCCCCTTTTGTCAAGGCTACACCGAGGCTCGGTGCTGTTTCCAAGGTCGCAGGGCTACAGATACTCAGTCTCGGTTCGAAATCTCCGCTACCGTCTGAAAAGCCCTGCTGCTGTTGTGCATGCAGTAACGGCATGGGATGTCGTGGCAACAGTCCGATTCTGCGTTTAAGAGGGGTTGAAGTTGACCATCCGAAGTGGTGAACACTCGAACGCTGCGCACTGTTTGAACGACAATGGTATCGTTCTTGATATGCGAATGTTGAACAAAGTAGTCATCCAACCTAATCATGACATAATCTACGTGTCTGGTGGTGCGCTGTGGAGGGACGTATACAAAGAGCTGCATGATAGAGATCCTCGTCTTGTCGTCGTGGGTGGCCAGTGTCCAACCGTCGGCGTGAGTGGTTTCTTACTTGGTGGTGGTATAAGCTCATTTTCCCGCTCGTACGGGCTGGGCATCGACAGCATCGAAGCGATAGAGATCGTCAAAGCGAATGGAGAACTGGATATCGTGAGCGCAGAGAATCATCCAGATCTCTTCTGGGCACTTCGTGGCGGAGGGGGCGGTAATTTTGGCGTCGCAACCGGGTTCTTCCTGAAGGTCCATACGCTCAATCATCCCGAAGGAATGGTGACTTGTGGTACATTAGGATGGTCAGTCGAAGACAGAGTCAAGGAAGAAGTTTATGGAAACCATGAAAAACTGGGATGAAACCCCTCTGCCGCCAGCGCTATGCGGCGACGCGCTTTGGCGATACAGGAGAGACCGCAAAACGAAGGAGAAAAGGCTTTGGGCAGAGATAACGATCATGTACAACGGTGGAAAGAAAGACTGTAACAGCGAGTTGGCCAAGGTTCTGCGTGGCGAACCTGATGTGAACACACTCAAGGAGATGAGATTCTATGACTGGGAAGTTGGAGGTGAGGCGTTTGCCAACCATTCCCAAGTCCATCAACACTACTCCTCTGTTATCATTGAAAAGGGTAGAATGACAGAACACATCATCAATCTCATCACCGATTGGATGATATTAAGAAAGGAGCATGAGCTTGAAAGCGAAAATGGGAGGTGTCACGTTCTTTGGGATCATATTGGGGAACAAACAAGCCAAAAGAAGCCGGACGAAACAGCCTTTCCATGGCGCACCGGGGAGTATGCATTTTCGATGAAAGCAAGCTGGAACGAGGAAGAGAAGGAGAATGAAATGATTGCAGAAGTCCAAAGACTCCGGGATGAGCTAACGAAATATGCCATTGGAGGGAAAGCGGCGTATGTGAACTTCATCGACAATACATTAACTGGCTGGTGGGATGCATATTACGATACCAACTACGAAAGCCTCCGGCAGCTGAAGGAGACCTATGATCCTGAAGATTTCTTCGAATTTCAGCAGAGTATTCGAAAACCTAGGAGCGACCATCCAGAAATACATGCTGTACCATCACGCAGTGCTGCGGCCCATAAGGGGGAACAGGACGAGAAGGATGATTTCCTTGAAGATGTCGAAAAGGATACCATGCAGATTGAGAAACCATTCTCTCAAGATGCACCCGCGGAGTCAGTAAGCGATTTCGGATGCGGCAGTCTTCAAAGTGGGCGTTGTTTTGCAATGTCTTTGAAGCGATACATTCTCGGTCTATTTGCTAGAATAAAGTCATAAAGATGCTTAGATTCCTGCTTCCTAGAGCTACTCGAGATAAACAATTGTGATTACTAGAGGTTTCAGTAATAGCAACTATTTCGTGATTATAGGTGATTTATCGTAGTGATATTCTCAGATAGCGTCCAAAATAATTGAAGACGCGATATTTAGAATCTGAAATATCATCCACATAGAACAATCTCACTTTTAAGATACAGGCTATCACGTTCAAACACTGTAAAAGGCCAATGACAAATGGCTACGAGCATCACATCCGACATAATTATTGATCTTTAGCACATCGATATATGTATGTTCTGGATTAAGCCTTCTAAAAGCAGAGCGCAGTAGTTACTAGTATGGACTTAGTAGCGCCGACTATTTTCTGCCACCTCGCAGAAAGCGGTCAAAAAGTTTACAGTTTTCCAAGCACTTGTTCGCGGACTGTAAAGTCTTAAATCCGCTTAAATCCGGGCTTTTTTCATCGAGGTCGACTAGGTTCTGCCGCCTTGAGCGGTGTATGGAGCGGTCAGGAACTGGTTTTCTGCCGAGATATAGAGTGTAGGTATTCGAGATAAGATTCTGGGAGCTCGTATTCTCCACCCCTATCAAATATAACTTGTTTATGTACTATTGTCTTCATTTAGGGTCCTTCTGTCTTATTATACTTTAATACTGCTAGGAACAACATGCTATTTTATATATTTCAGCTAAACTCTCATGAACACTCTTCTATACGCGCGGAATTCAGAGTTGACTGGGGGGCTACAGAGACAGCGCTACCTGGGTCTACTGCCGAAGCGCCGCCCAAAGAACGATGTGGCTTTCGTAAATATAGTTTGGTAGAACCACACGATTTGAGTAGTTACATCATCTTTACTTAGGTCTGGCGCTCCTTTTCAGAAGTTAAATATACTGCTTGGGCTTGCAGTTCGGTCCTTGCAGAAACCACCCTCCTAACCCAATCACTTGCTCTCTCCATACAATATCCAAACCATGAAGAACCTATATCTGGCTATTACTACCATCCTCATTCTTGCAGACTATGCCTATGCCGGCCCACTGGGCTACGGAATCTGCCAGGCCGGTTGCGCAGCTGTGGTAATGGCTTGTTATTCAGCGGCAGGCTATACTTGGGGTGCTACACTCGGTGCTACAGCACCAGCCTCGATAGTGGCATGTAACACCGCTTTTGGAACTTGTTGTGCTCACTGCGCTGCCACGCTCTTGATACCAACCCTTTGATTGTAAAGAGAATGTACAAGCAAAGTCGGTACTTGGGATACTGAGCCTATGTCCTGGTTGAAGGATTACATGTCAGATTGCGCTCCTCATCTTGTTTTCAAATCTATATCTAATTGGCCAGTCTTTAATAGTGGTTGAATACTATATGATATTATCTACGAGATAAATGTTTGAGTTAGTGCCGTACACTGACTAAAAATGAGAGCTATGGGGGAAGAAAGTAGAAAATAGGAACAACACAAGATTTCCGACAAGTATGAACGTACACTATATGACGATGTCAAGACATGCAAGATCTGAGGCGATTTCCACAAATGAAGAAGATACTAGTGGATATACGCCTGTAATCAGTGACCCAGGCATATTATCAAACAAGACCATAAGCCCATCATTGGTATCGGGAGATACCCGCGGACTCCCAAATTCATACAATCCCACATATATAGTGGGGTGGACATGGGAGGAAGTGAATGTCACCGACCTTGTAAAAAATAGGCGCGTTGAGAGACCTGACTATGGTGAATGTTCAAAAAAACAGTGAATATCTTGCTTTGGCTCCGTGTAAACTCTTCTGACCTCTGTATATGTCGGTAGTCGATAGCTGCTGCTCACAGATCAAGTTATTACTTAACAGCATCATTCAATCTCCAACTTCGCCTGTTATTCTTTCTCCTCCATCTACACCGCGAGAAGACTCTGATATTATCCTGGTTCCAGTGCGTTGCCAGGTGAGTGCACCGGAGCTCCCTACAAACCACAACAGTTGGCTTACCACTGGTATGGTTCTAAACTGACAGGCTGTAATAAGTCAATATCCCGATCCAAACAAACATCTCCATTATGAATTTGTTTCAAAAAAACAAAAGCAGTCTCACTTTCCGGACGAGTAAACGTCTTGCCCTTCTCAAAGAAGCCTTCCAGGAGCCTGGCAATGACGAGAAGGAGAAGGTGCCACGCTGTACCTGGGCTATATTACTGGTCTGCGAGATGGAATTCTTTGAGGAATATATAAATTCGTGCGCGGCTGAGGGTCACAAGAGTCCCAAAACCTTTGATGAAATGGACCTTCTGGAAGAGTGGACCAATACTGGAGAGCTATCCATGGCAAATAAATATGTTGGCTCAGTCGATCAAATGAACACCACCATAGAATCAGACAGCGACGATGATTTCTGCTCCACTATTATGGCTAAAGTCCGAGAAAGAGACGCCGACAAATGTGTTATTACATCTCAGTCAACTTCTATGCTTTGCGATATCTGTCCAGACCACCTACTTCAAGAATTCAGTTATTCTTTTTGGATAAGACTTCTCGGATGGTGGGATTTTGAGACAGTACAGAGATGGAAGCTGCCATTGTTTCCCAATCATCCACATTATGAGGCGGAGGAGACTATCCAGAATTATATCTCCTTGAGTCCGGTACTGCGAAAGTATTGGGAATGGGGGGACTTTGTGCTCCGACCTCATCCAAAACATAGGGTGTGTCACAGGGAAATTCAGGTGCAAATTTTCTGTTTACCTTTGCAGGATCATTGCTGGAGCGACAAAATCTGTATCTTCAGCAAGCCCCCTCGCATCAGGAAGGGGACCACAGTTAAATTGGTTGGGTTTGAATCAGAAGAACTCAAGGATTTGAAATCTGGGGATTGGATCACTCTAACAACTCCGGATCCGGTTAAACTGCCGCTGCCGAGCTGGGATCTTCTGGAGTTGCGGTTTATTATGACGATTTTTGCTCGATTTGCTGGAACGATCGTGCCAGAGGAGGGATGCAACCAGGATAAATAGATTGAAAGGATTGTATTGAGGATGTTTGTCTTTTGTTGGGAATGTTTCTTTGCGGGGAGACTGTTAATGGATGGAAGGAGCGATGACAATGAAGTAGGTGGAGAGAGATAACCCATGTTAAGTATGGAAGGTTCACTGCCTGAACTACACAGCCCATAGTAAGGTATGGGTATGAAGCTGTATCTATAGCGAATTAATATCCAAACATAATGCCTAAATCACCCTCTAAAGGATCTAAGAATACATGCTTCTATCCTCCCACCTCGGCTGCAAATAGCTCCAGTCCCGATCAAACTGAAAATCCGTCTGATACAACCCGTAGGTGAAGAGCTGTACAGTGTCGAGCTTCACACCGGCATCTGTTTGCGCCCACACACTCAAGGCTAATGTATTCTGACCCCGGTTGTTGATGATTCCCGGAGGAATAGGAAACTTCGTCTGCGGGCCAATGTGAGGGACGTATTTTCCGTATTGATACTTTTACAGAGAAAACTAATGTTAGCACATCAACGGCTCATACCATGTAAACTGGACCTGAGACTTACTCCATTGACCCAAAGCATTACACGTGCTATGATGCCATTTGGCGCTGAGAGAGCAACACCAATTGGTGCGTCTAAATCACTGTCGATATCAAGATTGAATGTTGTGACATAGAAGCGGACACCTGATCTTGAGAGGCCGTCTAGCGGACTGGAAGTACTCTTGAACTCCTTGTCATCTGAAGCCGGGAAGCCAGGGAGGAACCAGCCTAGTCGTTCAGCATAGAGGCCACCCTCATTCATGGGTCCACGGACTGGGTCAATCTTCTTCGAACCACCAGCATTACCTTGAATCTTCCATAGTCTGAACCCGGTTTCTGTTCGTGTACCTCCTGGAAGGAGATACGCACCGAGAATGCCCCTAGGATTCTCAGCACCGTTAGGGATATCAGTTTCATCATGGTCATGGTAGTCAACTAAGACTGTGATGACATTGTTCCTCGTCTTGAGATGGGACACTGGAAGCGTTAGAGTCAAATTCGTGGCTGATAGATTGGGATCGCTAGCGTGGCCCCCAATGAGATGTCCGTTTAGCCATGCGTTCCATCCGAACGCAAGGCCTCCAGAGGCGGTAATGTTGACTGCGGTGTGTTCGATGCCGTCAAAGTATCCACGGTATATTTTAGCACCGGCGTAGTAACCATAGTCGGAAAACAGGACTGGCAGGGTAAGAGGAGCTATAGGACTGAGGGTACTATTCTTGTTTGCGACCGTCCACCTGGAGTCGTCAAAAATCTGGCTGGATTTCAGGGAGGGATTCTGCTGTGTGCCAGTAATTCAAAGGTGGAAGTGTTACTGATCGGTTTTCTGTACCAGGTATTTGGGCTGTGTAGGAACCATAGGGCGTCTTGCTCGCTGTGAGTAGCTGGCCGTTCCATTCAATTGCCTTGATGGGCACGTCGCCGATGAAACTTTCCAACGTCATAGTTCCGTTGTTGTCTCCGGACACTTGAAGCACTTCGTTATTGACTGATGCAAACCTAACTAGGTACGGACCGAGAATGAAAAGCTTCTGGTCTGGCTTAGGAGAAGGGTATTTTGATGTTGGCGGAGCCCAGATATGCCATGCTGTAGGTTGATCAAGCAATAGAACAATGACCCCATTTGAAAAACGAAGGACAGTAGAACCGGTAGACTGTGTGTACCTAATCTTCTGGTAACCATGATGAATCGTGGACGATACGGTAGACGCGCCGTATACCTCGAACGTCAAGTTCTTCGACGTTCTTAAAGCAAACTCGCCTGTCTGTCCTTCCCACAGATACAATATTAGAACGTCGTGGTGGGGCAGGACGCCATTCGTGAGTACATCCGCTGACGAATACAGCAGAGTTTGGTTACCAAACTTATAGTCGGTAACTAGAATCTTGCTCTGGCGCCCTTCAAGCTGGATACCTGGAACAGTCACATTGCCAAGGCTGGTGTTCAAGTAGGCTGAAAAGGTGATGGTAGCGGTTGATGGAGTTTCATTCTGCTGCAGCACAGTGAATGTTGCCTGGGTATCTGGATTCTTCAGGACCCAGCTATAAGCGTCGGGTGTTGAGAGCTGCTAGCTTATTAGTATGTTGCATATAATGGTCCGGATAAGATCCTAACACTGTAACCCGACCCATTCCCATGCATATTCGTCTTGAGCAAATCAGGTGCTGATCCTGAGAAGAGTTGTATCAACTTCGTTTGCCAAAGCTTGGCCCATTGCTCGCGAGTTTCTCGGAGGGGGGTCCTGTTCGTATGGTAAGCCACAGCTTCAGCAACTCAATATGAGGAGAGATTACATATAGTCATTGCTGGTATATGCCACCGGGCAAGCAGCTGTAGAGTGTTCAATCATTAGTTGGCAATGTTGTTAGCGACAGAGCATTCCACTCACAGTGGCCCCAGTTGGTCCCTCCATAGCCTTCGTATATACTCTGTAGCGTCACGCGCTGGCCAATGTTGTTCTTGTAGTAGATGTCCACAAAGGTAGTACTGTGCTCGCTTCGACACTATGTGACTATTAGCTTTCAACTAAACGATGTATAGCTGTGATTTGTTGCTGCTTGACTGAGTGACCACCCACATCATCATAATTTTGCGGTGCACCCCAAGTCAAAGTACGCCTGCCCTCAAACTCAGCGAGGTATATTAGACCAGACCATGCATAATTCATGAATCACTGATAGTAAGTTCGAACTACATCGAAGCCAGTCGCTCCATCACATTTGTTCCCGACAAGGAATCCTGCAGGGTAGTCGTCAAAGCCATAAATGTCGACTGCGCCACCAACGTTCTCGTAATTCCTTGACCAGGATATATATCTCGTGCTTTGTTCGTTGTGAGTCATAGGAACCGTTATTCCCACATCCCTAATTCCTGACTCAAGCTGTTCCATATACGTAACGAGAGTATTGTTGGGTTTATGGCTGGTCTCTCGTAGCTCATTTTCTACCTGGAAGAGTATGACGGGCTGTGCGCTACAGGTCAGCATGCCACACTCTAGCCACCAGAGAACAGCTGTACACATACACCACCTTTTGTGATCTGGCTCGCTGCAATGATTTGTCCGACCTTCCTCATATATGGAAGCCAAGCTTGATGATAGGCCTCATCTGAGGTCCGCAGCTTTCCCATGGAGCCATCGGAGCCCCATAGAGCTAAACCGCCCGCATTTGTTTGTGCCTTTTTGAGATCTATGAGTCAGTCTGTTCCATGTAACCTCGGGTTGTGAGCGATAATGGCTGCTTACGTTGACATAAGCACCCGGTCGGGCAATTACCCATAGGCCTGTCTGTTTGGCCATATCAAAAAGACGCTGTATGTTATGTGCCCCGGTTTCATAATCATATGCATCCCTGGAAGCAGAGTGATAACTCCAGAAGAAATAGACACTATAGCTGAGATTAATTGGATGTCCAATCTGTAGAGAAGCAAATCACCAACCTAATTGTGTTGAAGCCATTTGCTTTCAACTTTTGCAGCACATCCTGGATTGACGAATCCTCAGTCTTCGAACCTGACCAAATGAAAGGAATAGTGCCGACTCACCAACCACATTTCAGGGACGGGCAGTCTCTGGTAATGGAACTCAGCAGCACTAGTGAAAGTGGTTAGCTACTCGTGGAATTTGTACCGCGCACAATCCATATACTTGATGAGAACCCTCTCCCCATTGACTATCAAGCTATATTCGTCCCATGTCACAGCTCCACTTGAGTGGTTTGATACTGAAAACGCCTGGCATAAGGTTGCTAAAGCGAGCACAAGTTTCAGCAGCACTGGAAGCCTCATCCTGGCCAAAGTTGTATCATGAGTCTTATTTCACTGATAAAATTGATGTTCCAAGAGAGAATGAAGTGGATCACGATACCCTCCACATCGTAAATATGAGATCCTCACAGCGAAGTTCAGGACTTCAGAAATAACCCGATATTGTCATGCGTAGATGGACTTCTCCACTTTTATGCAGGGTAAGCTGAGACCCTGCAGATAGGATGAACACATTTCCACCAATTGAGCATTCAATAAGTTGCAGACCCCGCACGATCTGCAGTGTGTTCGTGAGAGCTCAAGCTTGTGGAGAGTCAGGATCCTGTAGGGCAGAAGGCAGTATATGAAACTAATGCACAAACAATATTGAAGCCTAAAGGTGTGTGCCAACAGACTCGGTGTAGAGGAGACCGAAGATTTCTGTTATGTTGCGTAAGTCATGACAGTCTCGCGTTCAATGCGCTATGTAGAAGCCTGCAGTTGACCTGTTCTCAGATCTCTTGAAAGATCTTTATTAGTCTTACTAATGTCCATTATACCAGTCTTTCTCAACATTTCCAGTTGAGCACTCACAACAGCCTTTCCAACTGCTCTCACTAGCTTCACTCGAAGCATTGCTCGGCTGTAGCCAAAGATAATGCTTCTTTCGACGACACCCTAGTCATCCTTCAACCTTATAAATGGTGCTAAGAGCGGTAATATCGTCATCGAGAACACCACATACCCTGTGAATAGTATGCTCATCACCACCAATACCTCTGCTTATCGAGTTGATGTACACAGCACTCTAACTGTGCTGATCCCAAAGTAGGGCCCTATTGATACCTATCAATAACCTCACAGTGAGTCTGAGACGCCCCTGGGCTCCAGTGCACAAAATGGTTGGTGTGCCAACACCGGTATCGACGATGTTCAATTAAATAATGGCTGAAAATTCGCTTGTAAGCGAGATCAAATATTCTTGCGCTGATGCCAATGATTCTGTTGAAGCACTATCATAGGGATTGACTGTCTTTTGTATAGAATTAGTCCGACAGGATCTAGAATTGAAAACAGTTATGTCTGTCTTTTTGTAATTTGTCCTGCTATGAAAAGTAGTTGGGTTAACATAGTTGATGATATCGGGTGAGCATCTGGTTACAGGGATTCAACATGTGACTATACGTCACGGGACTGGGTTGTCGCCTGTGGGCTCATAACATAGGACCAGCTTCCTGGGTGCTGATTGAATATTCTTCAGAGTCCCGAGGTACCTTTGAAAATCATGGATGTGGTAATACACAAATAGCAAGGTAGCTACCAAAGCCATATATAAAATATAGCAGACGTGTATCATGGCAGTGTAGATCTATGTCTATCTAAGACACATAACGCTCATAAGTTCATTCCAGTTTATCCTTCTATGCTTTTACTCTATTTCTTCCACAGTTGCCTTCTCTTCCATGACTCGCTCCATGGCCCTATCTCCCATGGGCTTGTGCTTCGACATCGACACCGCAGAGAAGATGGTGGGAGCGTCACGGAAGATCTCGTCAACTTCTTCTAGGGACCGGCCCTTTGTTTCTGGGTAGAACAGGTAGATGACGGGAGGGATAATGCCACCGATAATGGCGTAGACGATATAGTAGCGATAGCCGATGTTGTCAATGGCGACGGGCGTGATCATTGCGACGACAAACATCCTGAAGGAGTAAACAGTTAGCATAAGTTGGAAGGTAGTTGGATTATTAGGAGTGAGAGCCATACCAGAGCCATTGATTGGCAATCGAAATTGCTTGCATGGCGACACGAAGACGCGCAGGAGCAACCTCGGCTGGGTAAAGGAAGTTGGCGCCCAAGAAGCCGATCGGAAGGAAGAAGTTGTAAATAAAAATGAACAGGGCGGAGATAATGGATGCGGTATGGTTATTGGAGAAGGAATTGGAGACCGCCAATGCCAGCATGCACATGCCCATGCCACCGCCACTGACCATAAACGCTGTGCGTCGTCCCATGCGGTCAATGATGGCAAAGCCCACAAAACAGCACAGGAATTTCCAGGTCAACGCGCATGCCGCAAGAATCTTCGACAGACTGGTACCGAGTCCAAGATCTGTTTGGAAGATAAGAGGAATGTAAACCGAGATCAGAGTTCCACCAGTCATTTGCTGGAAGAATTGGAGAGTGACACATAGGATAAACCTGTACAGCAGCTTCTCTTCTCCCATAGTGAAAATGTCTCGGAGCTTAAGTGAGCTGTTCGAGGATTCCTCCAGAGAAAGCTCGTAAGCCCGTAGCTCTGCGACAACCTCCAGCGAGTCTACTTCTTGTCCCCTCAGAGACGCCAAAGTAAATTGTGCTACGTCTGATTTGTTCTTCATGACGAGCCAACGCGGCGACTCTGGGAGGAAGAAGATGCTGCCCATGATTATGAACGAAAACAAGGCGGGGATGGCAAGTGATGCTCTCCATGAGGCAGGCGAATTCTCCATGTGGTAGAAACCGAAATTCACCCATTGCGTCAAAGCGAAACCAAACGCGATGAACATGCCGGTCAACACCACGTTCCGTCCTCGCTGGGCGGCAGGCGCGCACTCGGATTGCCAGACAGGTACAGTCGCACTGAGCATGCCAACACCAAAACCCAAAATCACTCTGCCAACGACGAATTGAGCTAGAGAGTAGGCGGTGCATTCCAGTATCTGACCGATCAATGCAATGAGTGCGCCAGAAAAGATCGATCGGCGACGTCCAAGCATGTCACCGATCATTGTACAGATCAGGGACCCGAAAAGGGCTCCTATTGTGTACGACGCGACCACGGCTCCTTGAACGGTGGCATTGTGAGACTCTTGGGCCCCGGTAGTGTTGACTGTGTCAATCTCCGGGAATACCCTCACCCAGGAGGGGAAGTCATCGAGTCCTCCGACACCGGACTGATTGTAACCGAAAAGGATAAAGGAGGGACAAGCGACTAAGAAGATCTGGGCATAACGAAGTGCTTGGCCCTGCATTGTGCCGAATTGCCTGTACCACAAGGACTTTGGCTTCGCAGGAAAGGCAGCAGAAGGTAAAATAGGGGAAAGGAGAATGGAGGGAGAGAGAAATAGCCATTTTCAAGTCCGGGGGCTTGCTCATAGAAAAAGAAACAGGCCAACAGCTAGCCCGAAAGCAATCAGTCGCGGGGTTTCTGTCGGCTCTACATGGGCTGATGATCAATCCGCTTCTCCGGTCAATGGAGACCGGACTGCTGCCGACCGAGCTGGTCAAGATGACGTCCAGAGGCCTGCCGTGGGCCCGCATGCAAGTAAAAGACGGATGCCGATGTGCGAGTCACATAGCGGACCCCCTGGTCAGTACGAAATACTCCGCACGGGGGACCAGGGCCGAGAGAGAAAGATACCACAGCTTCTCACCGGGGTAGTGGTATGCTCGGGCTGACCTGGGCCGTACGGTGTACGGCTTTGTAACGTGTCTGATATCCCACCAGTCGCCACATGGCTGGATCTTATGCAAAGCACTCGCTGATTGGTCTTGGTGCTAGCGCGGCGACTCTCCAACAGCCGGGGTGGTTGTTAGCCTAGCTCCAGTCGCTACCCGGCCACCAATTAGAGCCCCAGTTTGTCCTGGGGCACGCCAACCGTGGTTCCTATTATCTCCGCAATAAGCACCCCAGGCTTTAGCCCCGCGTCCAGGCACTTCGATACAGGCCAGGCCCACGTTACTGACTGTATTGTGTGTTAGAAATTGGAATCCATTATCCGAGGGGTGCGAGCAACGGATGTTGTCCGAGCCCTAGGCCCACCACCCCAGTCTGAAAGAAATCTCAACTTGGGCGACTGATTGGGAAGCGGCTATACTAAGGTTATTACACCGGACGCGGGATGAAATCATAAACTAGTAGAGTCTGGCAGAGGACTTACCCAGTCACAAGTAGTCCTCGATGCATCCGAGGGGGCCTAGTGAAAGAAGACAGCATAAAGAAAAAGCAGAGAGAGGTGAGCTGGGAAGGCATCTGAGCGGTCAGGCCATGGGAGGGAAGATGTCATGGCGCGCTGATGTTGGAATTTGGGGGGGCCGCGTGACTCCACGGGACTTTCCCCACCAGTGTGGGAAAAGCATTTACTACCAGCCAAGCCGGGCAACTGGAGCGCAAGGCAAGTCGAGTGGTCCGATCGGGAAGTCAGATTTTGATCTCCTTCTTGTCCCGGAGATTTTCCAATGGAGTCTGGAAATGCTTAGCTTGCTTGTTGTCGGCGTGGCACTTTCCCTACCGTCGAATGACCCAACGCCACCGAGGCATTTAATAATCGCGCGCCCACCAACTAACCAGTTGACTTTGCCGATGTGCCGCGAAATTGCTTATTTCACAATTTCACAGGGCGTATAAACTGTCCGTGTTATTGCTTATCTTGTCCGGTGTAAACTTTCGAGTCAGCAAGCTCTCCCTTGTAAAGTTAAGGTCATGTGTAGTATCCCATTTTTCTCATTGTCGCCATAGCCAGTCCCGAACATAAGGTTCCGGTAGAATGTCATCGTGCATGGTGAGGCCCTCCATCACCCGGACTCAAAAAGCCAGTTCAAAAACGCCAAGACTGTTTTAGCCGGTCTCGAAAATACCAGACAAGCTCAATGCTGAGGCTTTGGGCGTGGGATGGCGGTAATTTTGCTTCCCTGTGGGCTGAACCAGTTTTACCCACTCCCATCGCAATTCCTCCGAGCGCATTCAGACCGAGGGTGTCTAGTTGTCTTGAAAGAGGACTAATGTACTCAGTGTCAGACCATGAGCACTATGCAGGACGCAACCACTAATTGACACTATAGAAGTACGACTGCAATGTAATCCGAGATAGTGTGCAGCGGCATGCACCACCGTGGATAAATCTTTGAGCGCCGCCCCTCTCCCCTTCATGCAATGCTGTTTACCTCATTGCATGTCCAAGTCAGACGTCCTATACCCTTCTCGGCCGTGCTAGTCCCAGAAGTAAGACCAAATTAGTGACACCAAGTCCGAGATTCTGCCGTCTTGGTCTTTTCTCATA